CCCTCGCAGCTGAGCTTATCTCCTCTCCATGATATTATTGAGACGTCGTTTCACCGGTTGATACCGGTTTACGTTTCGCGGTTACGCCGTTGGCCCCCGCGGCGAAAGAAGAGTGAACACTGCGAACAGTCCGTTCGCAACGTCAACACTATGAGTTTACGCTCGAAGATATTACGCGGAATGAGACAGAGGTATACAATCTAGATGTACTGGTTTCGCCCTCTTAAAAATATTAAATTAACTATTCCACCCTTTGCGGCGCGTACGGATGATTTCTGCGAGTTTCACGCGCCGCCAATTCGTTCCAGGTCGCAGGTACCGCTGCTGCAGGTGGCGGTGAGAAGGTACAATGCCTGCCGGCAATGCCAGCAGGGATCCCGCTGTGTTGTACACGACGTGCATGATCTTCGCCGCCTTAGGTATATCTTACTACGTTTTCAAACACAAGAGACAAAGCGTCTATGCTCTCAGCGCGGCCGAGCCGAGCGTACACTGTGGTGAATTGCGAAAGGACATGAAGACCTACACCTTGGAGGAGGTGGGCAGGCACGACAGCAAAGAGAAGCGCATCTGGGTCACCTTCGGCCAGGGCGTGTACGACATAACGGATTTCGTCGAGAAGCATCTGGGGGTGGCCCGTCCAAGATCCTGATGGCCGCCGGGGGATCCATCGATCCGTTCTGGAGCATCTTCGCGAATCACAACACGCCGGAAATTCGCGAGCTGCTGGAGTCCATGAGGATCGGAAATATATCGGCGGCGGACGCCGAGTCTAATACAAGCGACTCGTACGATCCGTACGCGAACGAGCCCGCCAGGCACAAGGCCCTGACGATCAACGGCCACAAGCCCTTCTGCGCGGAACCGGCATCGCCGCTGTTGACCGAGAGTTTTCTCACGCCGGCGTGAGTGTACATTATTTAAATTGCTTGTCTTTCGTTTTATGAGAGAGGAAAGTCCCCTATTATGAGGTAGCCGGGTTTCTGCTAAATTAATAGGCGTCGTCTGTTGATTCCACCATGAATTTATTGCCCTTTCATTGGTGGATTGTGGTAATCGTCAAAAGATTTGCGATTGAATTTGGGCGTTGAAAACCTGCTGTCTCACATTAGAAGCCTGTCTTGTAATAGAGAACTTGACATGTTTCAATTTGGTCCCGCGGATATTTACGCCCTGCTGTTTTTCAGTGACTTCTTTTATGTGAGAAATCACTTGCCCGTTCCTCAGATAGACTTGAAGGATTACACGCTAGAATTGGCGATAGAAGGGACGACCAAAAAGACGCTCGACTTCGAAGCGATAACAAAGTATAAGAAGAGGACGATAACAGCGGCTGTAATGTGCGGCGGAAACAGGCGCTCGGAAATGTCCAAGGTAGATCCGTCGAAGAATAAGGAATTGCCGCTCAAATTCGCTGAAATTAATGGCAGATACGTGGCGTTTAATTTTGATTACAGGTAAAGAAATTGAAAGGCATTAACTGGAACGTTGGCGCTGTTGGAAATGCGACCTGGACGGGTGGTACTATTGTGCGACGTATTGAAAGATTTAGGAATCGATGAAGATGCCTTTGATCACGTTCAGGTATTTTCCGCGATAAAAGTAGCCTCATTTTACATATAAGTATACTATATTTAAACCTCCCAGTAATAGTAATTCTTTAATAAAATTTGTATGGCTCAAATGTGATAAACACAAATTTGAAGGAGTGGAGGACTAAGAGCCGTGACAGGGTGTTAATGTCTAAATATTTCATACCTTTAATATTGTGCACAATTAATAAACTATCGCAGCAAGTAATTTATCATTCACATCGGAAAGGCACTGAGAAAAGTTTTTATTATTTTTGTCAGTTTGAGGGATACGATCTAGATCCAGCTGGTATGCCGTATGGAGCAAGCATTCCTATCTGTAAAGCAATGGACCCGAGAGCGGACGTGATCCTGGCGTATGAAATGAACGGTGAACCGTTGAGCAAAGATCACGGATTTCCGATTAGGGTAATCGTGCCTGGTGTCGTGGGCGCTAGGAACGTGAAATGGCTGAGTATGGAAAACTCTCAAGAGCCCGATTGCGCATAATCACTGAATTTGCGCTTATATTAAGCTATACTTTCAGGTAAAATTATCGTATCGAAGGAAGAGAGTCCGTCGCAGTGGCAACAGGGCGATTACAAGGGTTTCTCTCCAAGCACAGATTGGGACAACGTGGACTTCAGTAAATCGCCCGCGATACAAGAAATGCCTGTAATATCGGCGATATGCGACCCGCAAAATTCGGATGTGGTCGAAATCAAGAATGGGAAAATTCAAGTGAAAGGTAAAATCGCACATGGAGCGATCACGTGGCACCGAATTGCAACACGAATCGGCTTCATTATTTTGCGACAAGCGTCGTATAAATTTCGTTAATGTTTGTAAAATAAAATTGCCATTTTAGGCTACGCGTGGTCCGGTGGTGGCCGGAAGATAATCCGTATCGACGTCACTAATGATAAAGGTGAGAAAGGCAACCCAGCGAGAAATGACTCGTCGATTGATGTCGAAATGTCGAGTCGATTATTTTGCTTCCTTTTAACGATCCATCGTTAACATTTCTTTTCGCTGTTTACAAAGGCAAGACCTGGCACACGGCAGATTTGACGGAAGATCTTGAGGCGAAGCAAGGCCGATACTGGAGTTGGACGTTGTGGAACGTGGAACTTCCTGTGAGCAAGAATTCAAAAGAGGTTGAAATCTGGGCTAAAGCAGTCGATTCGGCGTACAATGTGCAACCAGAAAGCTTCGAGAACATCTATAACATAAGAGGATTGCTCTGCAACGCGTATCACGCGTATGAAGAGATTTTGGATATATTTGGAGGAAATTGCGGTTCTTCCAAGCTGATTCTTCAAATATTCTTTTCTCTAAACTACGACGAAGGTGCAATAATTCTTAGATATAAATTATTGTTAAAGATTGGTTTCTTCAAATTGCCAGTGTAACACTAAAGTTCCAAATTTTATTCGACCACAGCCTAGAGTGTAGGGAGGTCCAGGTTCAAACCCTGACTGAGGTAATATTTTTCGCAATAACTTTTCTGCATTGGCAGAGAAATTAACAAATGTGGCCAGCTGTGGCCGAATAAAATTTGCATTTTTATAAATCATTATGTATTATAATGAATTGATATTGTGTAATTATCGCAGTTGTTATACACAATTTTGTACGAACAATCTGAGCAATAATATTTGCGTGAAGTCACGAGAGTTTGTAACAATGAAATTGCAATGTCCTTCCTTCGGTCTGTAAACGAATGTAAGGAATTTTTAATAAAGTTATATACATCGATTGAGAATGTAGAGAAGCTCCACGCTTCTAAATGCAATCTGTAGACTTTTTCGAATTAGCGGTTCTGAATTCGGAATTTCGCGCTCTTGCCGCACGAGGTCTTCGATATCTTCGAGATCAATTCGAGGAGAGAATGCGCACGCTCGCCGATAAGTTGGTTTTATAACCCATAAAGCGGTGTACGCGCGCGACAGGCGTCACTTTATGTATGTAAACACTTAACTTATTTATTCTACTTGCGTGTATGGCGACGCTGCTGTTCTCTTTTACCTCCAATTTAATTTCCAACGTACTTCCAACGTGGCGGAGAGCGATGGGACATTACAGCTTCAACGCGGTATAACCTTCAAGCGCCGTCGGTTCCTGGTATGTCCCGCAGAGGGAGAATCCAAAAAAAAAAAAAAGGTTCCTGGTATGTATCGTTACTTGCTGAGAACTGCGTAAGGCCTGCTCTACGGTGTGCCCTTTGTGCAGAGAAAGATTCTATTTTACAGCTAATAAGTACGTTCAAAAGTTTTAAGTTGTACATAGTAAAATCGTACTTTGTCGACAAATACATACTTTAGACCCGGTCTACAACGAGTTGTCAGTCAGAAGCCGGCACTGTACGTTGATTCCTCTCCTTTCTGGGTGGAAGAAAAAGAACCGACATACCTATAGTTCTAACAACTCATTGTAGACCGGGCCTTTAAGTGCATTGATCAAGGGACAGTAGCATCTCACGCGAGGTATAAGCGTAGCGACTTTCTTAAGGCCATTCTACAATTGCGTAAACGTAGTTGTAGGGTTGTAGAAGTAGTAATAAGTGTTGTACATCAAAGTAATATACAATAGAGTGAGATACGTCGTAATGTAATTGAAATGAATGATTAGTTAGCTTTTACGTCCTACATTGTTGTAGTCGTGAAAGATCAAGTTCAGCCATCTTTTACAACAGGCTTTACAATTGGAAATGCTAGTTTAAAACTGTGTTTTACAACACTGTACAACCGCTAACAACCACGTTTACGCAATTGTAGAATAGCCTTTATACAAAATAGAAGGTTTCTAATCGAAAAAGGCACATTGTAGATCAGGCTTAAGATAAAAACACCTGGCTAGAAGGGACCACTTGTTCTTTTACCAGCTTGACCTGCATGCTTCATCGCGTCCGTCGAAACCTTGATTACAAAACATGGACGTTGACGAGAACATGGAATACACGCTGGACGACGCTCTCGGGGCACTGCGGGAGAAAAAGGCGGAACAGGAGAGAATTATCGACGATCTGATAAACAAGATATCGAACAACGAGGTCTTCACGCTGAAACCGTCCAGCTCGCTGGAGGACGTGAAGGTGAAGCAGGACAGATTGCACGAGAGCCTGCGAAAGGAGGTGCTGCAGGTGCAGCCGGAAGACTATCCGATTCCGAGAACGTCCGACCTGCGCGTGGAAGTGATGACCGAGATGGAAGCGGGGATACGCGAGATGCAGGAGGTCCTCGACAATCTGCAACGGAGTCTCTCCAGCATCCAGGAAGACGTCGTGTAGTGAGTACAGTAATAGTAGAGTCGCCGTTATCCACGTCGATTCCCTTCTGCCGTTTCCTTATCTCCATTGTGCTTCTTCTAGTTTGAGAAGCAAGAAGAAGGGACTGGATGAAATGCGGCAAGCTAATCTGGATATCACGGAGACCTTCGCAAACATAACGTACAAGAAGGAGACCATCCTGACGAAGAAGCTATTTCAGCAAGTGAAGAATGATCTGGTATGTATTTTACGAGGGGTAAACCGCTGGTCAAAATCATGTACACCAATGCCTACTAATGCCCAGTGGGCATTACATTATCTTGTTTTATCTTTACAATTCCCCAGCAAGGCCTAATGCCCAAAACATGCTTAGTAATTCCTAGTAATGCCCAGTAATGCCGCATTGGTACATGTACCAGAGTATACCGGAGTGTACACTCGGCGTCATGAATGCTATTACACCTGAAAATAGCCGTTAATTTCAATATATTCCGGCGGGACAATTCATTTTATTAAAGTAAATTTTCTATTGGATATCTCTTCAGCGTCCTCCTTCAGGTGTAAGAGCACTCACGACGCTGAGTGTACGTTCCTTGGTATATGCACCAAACAGTCGCCAAAAATCGCCTAAACTTGCGACCCGTGCACGATCGCAAGGAAGTCACGTAATTTTTAAAATGAAGCGCGAGACAAAATACTGATAGTTGAGAAACTTGGCGTTTTTTCACAGCACAACGTGGTGGATACCATTTTTCCGAACAACGAAGGCTTGAAAGAGTTCTTAGCGGTATGATCATTTTTATATATCGCCGTATATTTTTTTTTGTACAAAGTTAATTATACGAAATTACAATTACAGACGCTAACGTCAGCTTATACGAAAGGAGGGGATAACGTCTACGTAGACGTCACGCCGGACGTTGTTAGTTACATAAATTTCCTACTGGAAGCTGATTTAATACAATACCACCCTAACGACAAGAATAAAGTCAGAATGACCGAGTTATTATAGTGTCCGATAATTAGCTAATATTTTACAATCTCGTCCTCTACAACAGTGCGGCGCAGTATAAAATAACCGATGGACAAGTCAGAAATAGAAAAACGCTTGTTTGTAAATATGATTGCTTAAAGTAATATAAAATCTTTTCTACCACAAGAAAGGAGATCTTTCCCTCAATATTCTAATGCCCCAGCGATGCCATTCGGTGCGAGTGATCCACAATTCCTGAGCAGACTCCAAACAGCTTAGAATCCCCGCTCCTTTCCACGTCGTCATACCGGGATCCATATCCTTCGGCTGTGTTATAATATCTAGTTGTTCTACAGAAGCAAAATGTTGCGCAATAATTTTCCGTTCTTCGCAATGCAAGATGGTTGCAACTGATTAGTCAGGAGCTCCTTGAAAGAAATACTTACCGGGCCTGTACATGTAAGGAGTTTGAAGAGATATTCGATTGCGAAGCCACATGCCGATACCTTTAAATTTCAAGCCCGAACCCACGACTAACACGCAACTGTACATTTTCCTTTTGAGATCTTCGTTGGCTGTTACAAAGAAATGAGATTAACGCTTATGTTTAATTAAAAGGTCTACAGTTGAACGAATATCTTTGCTTACAGCATCGCTCGATGCTCTGTAATATCGCTTGGTCAAGACCCAACAGTTGTTGCGGGATCACGAAATCTCGGGGAGCTTCCAAATCGCGATTTGACAAACTAGGTACAGGATCACCGACAGCGTCGACTACAACTTCGTCGTCGCCCACGGCTGCGGGTGCAGCAGCAGCCTCCTCCTGCATTTCTGACGAATGATCCAGAGTTTCTTTCATCCCACGTCTCTGAAAAGACAGCAGAGTCGAATTTGAGCACAACGGAGACGTCGGTCGAGCTCGAGAAACAGTGGTTACTTACACTTGTCTCTCTCAGATAATTCTCATCGTAAGGATCTTCCGGGTCTCCTAACGATCGTTTCTGGACGTGAACATTATGCGTACCAGTGATTCTGAACAGCTCAGGTTGAAATAAGCTCAAAGGTGCTATTAAGCATTCATCGCCGACCTTAAACAAGTTTCAGCAAAGTCTGATATTATGGATGAAGCTAGTCTTTATTTTTTAAAGAATAAATTTAAAAAGGGGGTACAACACCTGCAAGGTATACGTTCTCGTTTGTTGTTTCGGCTTCCTGACAACGAACGTTTTCTCCTGCGAGCCGCACACATTCAGATCCACGTGGCAAAAGTCTATCTTCAACTGCTCCAAGAGCAGCACGTCCAACTTGTTGGTGGGATCGCACGATTTATACGGAAATGCGGATTTTTGCAAGAGCCAGAGAAACGTCTGCGTGACATCCGCGCCGCCATAATCCATACGCACGCGCGTGTCCTTGTGAGAGATCGCATCCTCCACGCACGACACCGACACCTTCTGCGCCCCGATGTCTACTATACACGCGTAACCCAGACCCGCTCCAAACATCGCGCCTACATGATCCTATCGATAACAAAGGCAGTCTGAACTTCAAGTTGCTTAAACTATTACACGAGTAGTGAAACGTTTCGTCACAAGGAACAAGAATTCTCATCCCCGAGAGGAGAATGTGATTGCATTATGGGCAAACTAACTTGCAATAGAATACAGCGTCCAAAACCAATTTCGTCCAGTAAAAGGGTCATCAATTCCTTTAGATACGGCCGATGATAAATGTCGGGTATAACGAGCACCGCGCGATAGTGCTTCAAATCTTTGAGGGGAATATCCAGCTTCTCAGCCAGCACATATTCCCAGATGGTTTTTAAATCCGCCACGACAGCCATTATGCTACCGCCTGGACTCGAATGTATATTAAGCTCCCCCCTTCTATACGGAAAATGGACATTAAAATTGCACTCCTCCTCCGGATCTAACGACAAGATATCGTCACCGACAACTATGTCACGATCGGTCGTCGTCCACTTCATGTTGCCGGGAGAGGAGAGCTCCGGGCTTGATCTGCGATTGAAAGCGGCTATCTGCTGCGGAGGCGTAGCGTATCTACGGTTACCGTCCGACTGCAAGCAGGACTGAAGAGTGTGGGATACCTGCAGCCGGGACTCCTCCATCGCTTGTGTCAGCTCCTTCGTCTGCCAGAGACAGTGAGACGCAGAAACATGATAACAATAAGATCCGACTGCACGTTTACTCCAGCACTCACCAGTGTCACGGTTGGCGGTAAGAGGCTGTCCTTGTATTTCGTGCCATTTGGTAAACGTCTCCTCGCGACGGCGTGCAGCAACGTAACGGGTTTCAAGTCCGAAGCGCGGCCCATGCGAAGGTACATAGAGCCCGGATGAATAACAATAATCGTCTGTGCTTGGATTTGCTGAAACGTCGGTTACTATGAGTGCTTGTCCAGCACTTGTAAGCAAACAAAAATGTGACTGTAAGTAAAAATACTGGTTTGGCTTCCAGGCTGGAGCCGCACAGGTTTTCCATTCTATTTCGAATGCAAATATCTCATTGAAGTAAAATGAAAAAGCAAATTGTTGAAATCAAATGGAAAACTTACATAAATTTCATCTTTCAGTTTTGACATTGGTATCCGCCACAAAAGCCTCTAATATCAAAATGAATCTTCCAGATATTCTTTCTATACGATAATCATGTCGCTACTGACCCGGTTTCACCGACGTTCGAACTTCAAGCTTAGTTTAATTCGTCGTTTGTCTCTTTCCGACTGTTACCTCAGCAAGAGACAAACGTAAACTGAGCTAAGATTAAAGTTAAGCGACGTTTGGTGAAACCAGGCCTAAGAAGTAGAAGGCATGAGTTAGTTAAAGGTCACCCAGATTTGCTTTCTTATATTCCTTATGGTTTTGTATGTATCGCGTTGCAAAACAAGTGTAAACGGAAGGTCCTTGTAACCTTATGCGAGAACGATTGTCTATTTATCGATATTAGTAACAAAACAAAAATAATTACTTCGGCTTCTTGATAAACTGGCATCTTCGTTGACATTCGATATTGCGGTAATAAATAAAAGTGTCCTCTACTTTTATTCCTCTTCTCTCGTGAAAGTTTCCACCCGGGACCGGTGCGGTACAAGTGTCAGAGCGCAGCTCTTTTCCCTCTTTATACCCGTTCACTCGTCGACGTTCCACTTCAGTTTTCTCGCGGCGAGTTTTCAGAGTGTATTACGTAGCCCGTGGTCACGCGATGCTTCCGAAATACTAGCATCCTTTCAGGAATCATCGTCGATAGCACATGACAACATTCGCGAGCGCGTGCAGGTTATGTCGTCCATTGTTTACACCCGAAAGTTGCGGGCCACCTGTACGGAAAAATTAACCAATCACGAGTTCAAGGCGCGTCGCGCGCCACCAAAATGGCGCAGCGAATCAGCCAGATCGCTACTTTTTGAAATAGTGATTGTGTACAGGGCGTCTCATTTTAAATGAACCACGCAGATATCTCCAAAAATATGAACGGTACGGAAAAACGTTTCAAACAAAAGTTGTTTGGTTCGAAGGGGCACATAAGGCGGTGCCATTGACTTGACCTTGGATAGTCAAATGACTATCCAATTTTTTAAAATGGAACCCCCTATTGTTTATTATACTATCTTGTTCTACTAATGAACAACTTTTGTCCGAAACATTTTTTGATTTGCCTAATACTTTCTGAGATATTTAAGAGAAAATGTATAACTCTTTCAAGTTTAGCTTATGTTTAGCTTATGATATCTCGATAACTGTTTGTCGGAGGGAAAAGTAGTACAGGACTTTTTTACTTGATTTGGTCTCAGGAATATGCTGTTGCAATAGCGCTCCAATTATTGAAAATAATTGGACGTAACATACATGTATTAAATGCCAGCAACTGATGCTATAGGCTCTTTGCTAGAAATATGAGTTTAATATATGTTTGAGTGATTTAAGCACAGCTAGCATAATGTTTTGTCGTAGATGAGTGCACAGCTAAAGAGAGAACACAGACTAAACGTACCTTACGAGCAAAACTCAGGTAAATCTCGTACAAGTTTGCATGCACAAGACAAGCAAAATTTGCACGCAAGAATTGTTGTCTGGGCAACATTGGACCAATTAATGTTTAGCCAATGCACTGTACTACTAGGGTACATATGTATCTTATACGTTATACCTGCGAATGTAGGATAATATTATAGGGGGATAAATGAGGCCGCGAAATTATTAATTGGCTCAATATAGCGCGTCAAGGACTAAGAACCTTCACTTCGCAGGTTTATCGCATGACTGTGGTATCTCCTTCGCGGAGAGACCAAGAAGATAATTTATGCGGGATTTTTGCAGTTACGCAATTCCATCCACTGATATTCACGTGGCCGGACGGATAGAAGGGAGCATCCTTGGCATGAGACGCCGGTCACGTGGCCGCGACCGTCCACGTGCTTTCGCGTCTTGTCGCGCGTTACGTAAACGAGAACACGCAGCTCGCAATCGCTGACGCACGGCGATTGTGCCCTGCGAATATTAATTAACGACTTGTAATCGACGTCCCCCGTGCGTATTTTATTTAATCATTAACAAAGCCGAGTAAAAGCGGGCAGCGGACGTATCCTTCGTTACGTAACGCCGAGGCGGCGATGGCGCTCGCGGGGACGCCGATGGAAATGTCATAAACTTCGCTTCACCTCGCCGCTTTAGCGATTAACGCGAAACCGTCCAATTTCACGGCTCGATTGTATGTAAGTGCATTGTTTCTCGCTTTTAATACCACGGTGGGCACGCGAGCTCCTCGAGAGGATTGTAACACCAAAAGTATAAGGAGTTGAGAGAAATTGAATCATAAAATTACCCAGTCAGCAAAACGTTAGCAGATTGGCAGCAGATTGGCAGCAGATTCATCAGAAATCCACACCAAAACCACGGCCATCCGTCCCAGCGAGAAATGACTCGTCGATCGATGTCAAAACGATATCGAATCGACATCGACACAGTCAAATTGACGTCAATTTGACATCGTTTCGACATCGATCGACGAATCATTTCTCACCTGTCCGCATTTGGCTATTGTTTTGGCAACAGAGTCTGTAAAATATACGCTGTCAACAGATTGTCGACAGAAACCGAGCAGGTCCAGTTATGTGTGCAGATTCTTTTGTATTTCTGCTGACGTACTGGGAACAGGTCGAATATATCAGTTCCTGTGTGCAGTCTGCAGTCTTTCTGCCTTCAAAATTTGTAGTGGACATTCGACGAAATCTGTTCTCACAGATTTCGCTATCTGGGTATAGAAATATGACAGAAACACCAAAGAATGATAGACAAAACTGAAAACAAAGTAATTTATGGAACGTAGAAATTGAGTTATATAAGTTTAGATCTAAAACCGTCTTTAGATCCGTTGATACATTTCACTTGCACGTTTCTTCGCGATTCATACGGAGCTTCGGATGTTTACTGTAAAGCGTGCGAACTATACGAAAATACACACAATTCAGCTACGTAGTGCACGAGATAAAGACACGTGACACGTTTTGATCAGCGGATATCCGCTGAATCCAATTTCTGTGGCTCGTATTTTCACCACATAGCGCGATTAACAGTCCCCTATTTACGAGTCACTACCCGTGCAAAACACGTGGCATGTAGATTCGCGAAAAATTGAACTTTTTCTTTAGCAACACCGACAAATTCAGGTTTATTCCACAATCCTCGCATTCCTCACGTACGGATAATTGATTTAATATCAACGTTTCGTATATAGCGTTGATAGAACCATTCAAGAAATAAATGATTTCTCTCGAGCATAAAAATGAGGGCAATCGTCCCCTTGCAGCACAGTGCGTTGGCTGAACATTGGTCCAATATTGATTATATTAAAAATGCATTGGCCGGTATTGTCCAACGTAAAGCCATTGGTGATGGAATAAATGTAAATATTGCACGACATTAATTATATAATATTAGATTTATATTGCATTCATATTGCATTGGCCAATATTTAACAATGTAATAAGAATATTGTTCTAATATTGATACAATATAAAATATAACTAAATAGACATATTGGCTAAATAAAAGAAGGCGTCCATCTCACAATATTGGTCCAATATCGGGAATACTAAATTTACATTATTATATTTCCCAATATTGCGCCAATATATTGTGCTACCAGGGTTTCCTATAATTTCTGGACACTAACTATCTCGTACCAATGTGGTTTCATCACGTTACAATTTTGAGAAATTTGTTGCCAAAGTTGCAAACAGAGCTGTTATCCTGTATAACGCGTCCTTACATCGGTCGATATTCATAGGATCACGTTGCATCCGCTGCACTTCCTTTCCCTACGTGAGAGCGCAACCCCCCGAAGGGATATTTCGTTACACACAAATGATTGCACAAGCAGAACTAGAAGTACGCCGTAAATTGTACGAGTAGAAGTATATATTACAATAGCATCCTTATTACGTATGCTGCGATATTCCCGCGCGATTTCTCGTGAATTTAAAAATAGATTTCTCGAAGGTTCGCCTCGTTCCGAAGGTTACACGAGGGTTGATTTTGCCTATGCCGTTTAGTTCAGTCGAACATTTTTAACGAATTTGAGAAGTTAATATAAAAAAATGCTGCTTGAGGCATAAATCATTGAGACTTGAAGACTTAAAAATTAACGATTCAGAATTCGCAAAGCTACTCACGAATTTGTTGTAAGCGCAGTGAAAGTATCTGGCAATTTCATCTTGCAAAATAAAGTGGACCCGAGTCGAAATTTTTTTAAGGATAATTTAGACCTACTTAGCTGATCTATACATTTACACAGATCAGCAATAACTTACTTTAATGACATTTTTTACTCCCCCCTTGAATCTTTAATTCGAAAAATTTACTTTAGCTCCTACTTGAAAGGACCTACTTTAAATTGGCAAAAGTAGAAATTTCCGACAGTATCAATTTTTAAGTAGGAATAAATTTTGTACTTGCAGTTCGACCTCTTTTACTGTCTTAGGTCCTACTATATAACAGAATTAAAGGTTCAACAACCAATTCTGAAAAGTAACGCGTTACAGTTGCAATTACTTTCTTGCAATGAAAATAGAAATATCAAATCTGCATTTGAATTGTAAAGTGTCGGTAAAGGCGTTTATGCGCAAATGCAAGGTCTAATGCGATCTGTGGAGATTTAAAATATATATAAAGTAACTATTAAGTTAGTTGCTAGTTATCGAACAAAATGTAACTTGGTTAAGTTACAGTTACAGATGGAGTGAAAGTAACGAAATTAAGTTAGAGTTATAAAAAAAAAAGTAACTGAACTATAACTCCGTAACAAGTAACGAGTTACTTCCGAACTCTGCATATTTGTATGCGGTATTAATTTATCAAACTGACGCTATTTCTGTCGAGATAAAAAAAATACCCATGAGAAAAGTTGTATACTCTCTAATAAGGATCTCAAGTGAAACAAGCGGCGAAGGGGTAGAAATACGGGATTGGCAAGCGGCTAGGCCAATAACGAGGGAGGCTGCGCCGTGAATCGAGTGGTCGCGGGATACGATTCACAAGTGCGAAACAGTCAGCACGCGTCCCTTGAGACGTTCGCGTATCCTCTCTGATCTCCGAGAACTCGCGAAAAGATTTTTCCGAAAGTCTACATTAAATGGCGCATTGAGTGATCCCTCGGTCGTTCCTTTGACTTTTCGGATCTGTGTTTTGATTATAATTGAAATCGTATTCCTCACTTTTTGAAATCGGACTCATTGTTTGCATAGATATCCTCACTTTCACAACAAGAAAATTTAATAAGTATGCACTCTGAATTAATGTTGCCTATCTGAGAAAGTTAATCATTATTTCAAACATAATTTCTCCACATAATTGATGTTTTACAGTACGTTTTTGGCTCTATACAAAAGTGTCTCTGATAAAATGATCATTTAGTAGCTACGTGAAATTTTGTTATAACTACTTTACCTATTATTATCTTCGTTTCTTCGCGAAAGAAATTAATGTTAATGATTAAGAACATTCCCCTTGTAAATTATCGTCGTGCCATATACGTTTTATTTTACATTGCTAGAGATCTTAAGATTTGAACATCTCTGGAAGAGCTTCGAAGAATGGAAAAGAGTTTACGCACGAGGCTGACTAGTCTGAGCTTGAACTACTGACGAAAAAAACGAAGGATACCGGTAAGCGCACTATCGTGGAATTTTAAACATTATGGCAAAATAATAACTCTAGAAAATTAATAATGAGATTGTGTTATTTACTATTAATTATTTTAAATTATAACTACACGGAAAGACCGGCTAAGGCAAAAATAACTAAAATTAAAATGTTGCCGTATAAATAGTAGGGGCATCTACATTGTTTTGTGTTGCGACATTCACTCAGTTTGCTGCACAAGGTGCATGTGGTTGTCTCCACTACTTATGGATATGGCAGCCACAAAATTTACTATTTATTAGGATTGTGCCAACCCTAACTAGACATGTGGTAGCCATATCGGTCTCTCCGTGTACCAATTCTAATCACAGTTCACTAGTTAATTCATTGATACGTGGATTTGTTATATATAGGATGTAAATAAAAATTTTTTATTCATCAAGAAACGATGAACCGTATTAAATATATTTTTACTTTCAGTTTACTCACATGTTATATAAATTTTTCCTACATTAACAACAATTTCGAGATACCTAAAATATTTCAATCAAAATGAAAATTAAATCAATAGCATATATACCGAAGCTTTGATTACTTTTTTACTCTACGTAAAAGAACTTTTATTTTCACTTATCTACCTTTAACCTTTCTCCTCGCACAATAATAGAAAAGTTTTCGATCGATTCGTGTCATGAATCTGAGCCTTATTCGAACAATGATCAAACAATAGAGGATTTACTGAAGCAAGAAGTATGGTAATCTGCTTCGATTCATAGGTAACTTGAATAGCTGTATCCCAAATTTGAAAAAAGATCGAGAGACTTGAAAATTACATACGCGTTTTTAGCTCGACGTCTTTAACATTAATATTAAATGTAAATTTTTACATTCCGATGCGTAGCCAATAGTATCAATAATTCGATATCAACAATATATTAACAATAATTTATTTATATAAATTGCTAATAAGTTAGTTCGCCTTGGATTTACAAAACTACATTTATTCGTATTCGTTGATGAGCCATTTCAGCCTGAATGATTCTTCGCTGTTGAGTTTAATTACCGAAATCCTGTTTGTCATTGGAGATTAAACGTGGTCGAGAACATCCCGCGTATCCCTTGTGATTTGCGAAACTACGTTTATCTTTAATAGTAAACTATCTATCCTGAAATTAACCTGTAAATGATCTAGATAAATTCTCGGAAATGAGCGTAATCTGACAAAAACAACTTCACCGTTCCGCGTATCAATAATTTATAACGTTTAATGTTAAATCCGTTTGGCGCGTGTGAAAACTAAGAATTGCATAAAAGATGATGTTAATAAGCAAACGGTGCATACGATTTAGTCACGTGAATGTTAAAAAATTTATTATAATTATACTATAATAGCTATCCATATTCTGATAATATCATTAAATAAAAATATACGTAAATAATATATTACTGCCTCTTCGGGGTTTAAAAACATAGGCGTAAAGTTGAGGCTATTCGTTTATTAAACTTGAAGAGAAATGTAAAATTTGTGCATGTATACATGTGTATTCCCGTTCTGTTATCTGCTTTACACAGATCTTGAATTAACAGGATTGCGAATAATATTTGTGAAGTGCAGGCTCGCTGACTGACATTGATTTGATCGAGCAAACTTGTGACGTGAATTGATTTCATACTTACATGTAGAATAAGGTGTAATTCTATTCAATGCTATGTATTTCTATATTTTTTATATCATTCTTCTATAATTTACGCATGACTTATATTCATAGTGATCAATTGTTACTCGTCGAATGTTCTTGTTTAGCTCCGAAAACATTTAACATCCGGATAATTTTGAAAAATAAATATGTATAAATTGCCTTATTTTTCTGGATATGTTTTTTTAATACATATTTTTTAACGTTAATAAAAATACTTTGCCTTATTTTTCTTGTAATTGAAATTATTAATAATCAATTGATTAAGCGTATTCGTAATTACTTACGCTACTTGATTACATATTTCCCCTTTTAAAAATAAAGCAATGTGGACCAACTCATTTGCAACGAAGTCAAGAATAATTGCTTATAACTTTGAAATCAGGAATACTTTTTGTCACAGATTCAAGTTTCTATTATAAAACCAAATTTTCTAAATTTCCACATGGACAAAAATGCTTTTTCATTTTAATGCGTAATCATACATACAAGGATCTGATCCATTAGAAAGAGATGTAGTTCTAGTTTTGCGATCCTAGCCTGCTTGTCATAATCGATTGTTCCATTTCAATGAGAAATCTCGGGCGTGAATTTTTCGAATAATGATCTATGGTCTTTCAAATTATTAAACTTCAAAACCTGTTTAACAGCAATAACACTTCTTAACATTAATACATGCATATTTATTATTATTTTGTGTTGCAAGGTTTTTTTCGTATACGTTATATGTTATTACTAATTACAAATGTGTGCTAATTGAATTTCATACAGTTTTATTTAAAAGTTAAATTGCGTTCGTGTTTATAATAAGTTTAGAACAGAGTATAATGTATTAATAAATATAAATTTTTTAATCTATTTATATATTATGTTACTAAATATTTTAAGAATTAATTTCTCTCGAAAAATCTCTCTAAAGATAATAGAATACACAAGAGATTTAAGAAACAGTAGGTATCCAAGTTTTTAAGCTTCTTTATCGGAGAACATGTTGATTCTCAGCTTGACCTCTTTCGCTCGAATGCTTAACAAGGGCGAATATCGGCATACCGAAATGGACACTAATTAGTTTCTATGTATCCGCCATGCCAAAAATTAATTTAATAATTAACTTAAAAATACATTTATAATTGTTACTTTTAATACATATAAAATATAAACTATTACGAAAGCTCAGTTTTTTCTGACAGTTCCATTAAATATTTAACTTTGACTACAGCATTTTATAAATAATAAATAATAAATTTTTGGAAAATGATAAAAACTGTGTCACAAACGTAGAATACATCACCCTAAATCTATCTTTTTAAAATTATGAGAGAGAGAGAGAGAGAGAGAGAAAAATTTTGCTAAAAAGGAAAAATGTATAGCATAGAATACACCGCTATTTAAAAACTACTTTTGTTACGAAAATTGCATATACCAATGCACTGGTAACGCTTTTACACTTCGTTTTAACACGGAGTTCAACGCATTGTACTGTTATGCAGCAATTTTTTTTGCACCTCTAGATTTTTCCAAAGAAAGATGATACGATTCTACGAACGTATTCTTTTCGCTATAAAAAGTACGAAAATAATCCATAATTTATTTCAAAATCTTTCTCTTTTATTTAAAAAAGAACTAATGTTATGAGTGGAAGGAAGAGAGAACAGGAAATAAGAGTTCCGTAATTGCAGAACGCTGCACGATTGCATGGCAAGCACCGGAACGAAAATGTAGAGACACCCAACAAAAAATGGGAATCCTATTAGAGGAAAAATGGACGGTCTAAATGCCAACGGCAACAACACTCGTGAATTCTGTAATATTCAGTACAAACATTTCGTAGCACCGTACGGAGGTACGATTCTTTAACTACATCTCACTTTTCGCGTCCACTTTCACCTTAAAAGCAAGCGATACATTTTTAATTTCTTGTGCTCTTCTATAATTCAATGAATTGTTTTACCTTATAACAAAACTTGTCGTATATACATACTTAAAGAAAAGATTATTTATAAGAAACAATTCTCTTTGTTATACATTTGCCTTTTCAAAATGTAAATTGTTGTCAAGACTTTTTTTTCTTTGATATCGACTTGCCGATCTGTCCAACTTAATCAGCTGCAACATTGTCGTCTCCGTTACGAGGAACATTCCGCTACTCCTTTTCTATTTTCTAGAGCTCTGGTGTAATCCAGTATGGGACTCGTTGCTCTGTTGGCCGCCAACGAAAGCCTCTACCATGGCGAAACAGCAATGCCCTTTCGTGGATGGATTCGATACGATCAGTAAGTAAATGAATTTAATCCCACACACAGAATGTGGCTCTCAATCTACCTGATAAACCGTAGAGTATGGTATTATTCGAATCAACAAAGGATGATTGTAGATATTCGTTTATTGTACTTTTGACGTCGATTGCACAGTAATTTATGTTATTTGATTTCCGAGGCATTAAAAAAACATGAAAATATAAGGCAAATGCACACAGATCCTGAATATAATATATATTTCGCTTCTTATTATTAGAAGAAGAGGAAAGTGGATTACTATAAAGAATTTTATATTTGCACAGAAAATTAAATATTCAGAAAATTAAGTACTTGAAATGTAGAAAGTTGAAAATATCTCTGATTGCAACTCTACCTTTTTAATAATTTCACACAGAAAACCTTCATTTGATTTACGTAAAAAGATTATTTATATTTACAAAATTCTAATTAAATCTTGAGAATAATATTTTTAAGCTATATTAAGGATTTAAACATATTGAGATACATTTTTCTGGAAACAACATAATAAATAATAAACAAGTAAAAATAAAATTTTATATTTAATTGTGTACGTAATTTCCTCTCTTTTTATTTCCTTTTATTTCTTATTTTCTGTAATAAACTCCGAGAATTAGATTTAGAACTTCCTAAAGCATGACTCACAGATTACGCGTTTATTTCGAAAGATCTCCAACTACCTAAGAAAAATTACGTAAGTTTGCACTACTGTTTACATTATCAAAGTTTGCACATTTTATAAAAGCGTATTGTTTAAAACTTTAAAGAAAAAAATTGAAATAAAAAATAAATCGCGTCAGTACTTCCTCTTTAAGGAAACAAGGCGAGTTTAAAATAACACATTTCTACAAACATTTGTTCGGACGGACAAATTTTAACCATAACTAAACATTTAACGACTGTTTTATAAATTTTGTCAAATTGATTACGTCACCATAATTTATATGACGTAAAAGGATCATGAATAAAATATTCTATTTTTATTTTACAATGCAATTATTTCTCTTGATTCGATTATGTATATCACTTGTTGAAAACAAAGTATAATGCTCTTAATGAGAGAGACACTGACTTTATAAGTTGCGATATTATTATTTGACGTTTTATTTTAGACGGTAAATGCAAGTAATTTGTTAATATCGATATTTATTTGAAACTCTTCGCATAGAACGCGGTTGACCAGAAGTACTCAGGTTGCATTTTCGATGCAACAGCGGAATAAACGCAAGAGAAGTCTCCCCCAGTGCATCTCAACACTAAGGCACTTCGAAGTTCGAACCACTTCGACCGCGCGTTGATTGCATTCGATAGCGTGGCTTTGTCAGCTGTAAATGCGTCATAAGACGAATTTTTTAATTGTCGATATATTACCACCGTTCCTTTCCCTCCCCCCGCTACATGCAAAGCTTACTCTAGCACCTTTTACTCTTTAAATGTTCGTATTTCGTTTTTAAGAAACCCTTTTAAGAAACGCTTTTAAGAAAAATCGAACAGGAGTGAAAGATAATGACTTTCGGCGCACTCGGGAACGAAGAATTAAAACGTTTCTATTTCTTTCTGGGTCAAAATATTTTAACTTTTTTTTTATAAAAAATAATTCATCGTTTTATAAGTAAAATATATTAATTTTATTAATTGTAAAATAATAACGATAGGAATTGTGGGAAAACTTGATGCAGTAGATTCCGCACATTTTAATTAACTTTGATAACATTTAGACGAAATGTAACGCGATACAAATTATTGTAAGATAAAAAAAGAGAAATAATTTGGCAAAATCAAAAATTTTTTTATAATGTCACGTTAAGTTACTTAATAAAAATAATTTTATATTAGATCTGTTTTATATAAAAATTAATTAACAGGTATAAATATAACTTAATTATTGAAGAAATAATTTATGTGTATTATCTGAAATCAAGATTTGCCGAACTATTAAACATTATGTATCTCGATATCTATTATTAGTAGTTTTATTATTTTTTTCCTTCAGAAAAATGGAGTGGTAGAAGATGCAAATAACTACTGTGTGTATGTTTGTATAATATATTCGTGTACTTGTGTCGTGGCAACTCGTTGCAAAACGGTTATCGACTATCCTTCAATTTTCTGAGGTTTAAGGAAATCTTTAAGACGATAGCGCAGAGAGAAGCTACGCCAGAGTCTTCTCTATGTATATCCTTTCATCTCGCCAAATATCCACCGAATGCATTGTCATTGTCATATTACAGCATATTCTCTAATATGAAATTTTAATAAAAAATATTAGATTCGTAACTCTTGATTTCTAATCTCGACTTTTAATCCAACAGGATTTTTCATGTTTTAACATAATGTAATAATAAGATACTTTTAGCATCAGTGTAAATCGAATGTAAGGTTTTTATCGAAGGTGACTTCGTTGAAAATGCGTTTTACAGTAATACGATATTGAAATTGTGAATTATCGATTTTTCTGCTCGCATTAGTGATTCTCTTTTCAATAAGAAATGTTTTCGTGAAGAAACATTGTTAGCGAAAAAATAGGAGAGCAATAGAAAGATTCCGATATAAAGTTTAGAAATTCAAACAATAGACCAATGGTTATTTGATATCTTCAACAATTTTGCAGTTTGCCGTACGCACCCACAAGCATATTCAAATTATATCCTATTACAAATTATCAATTGTTTAATATTATTACGACCTAGCAGGAAAAAGAGAGGTTAATCAAGTGAAGATGCGATTGAAGACATTTCCAGTGGGTAGCATCAGATTTCCATGTCTTTGTATATTTTTTACAGAATCCGTGGAGAAAAGATGCGGCTACAATGGACGTTGGGAGACACAGAACGGCACAAACATGAACGAGGAATTGTTCATTGGCTGGGCAAATTATACAACTTGCTTAACACCAGAAATGCTGTGGCTTCACTATAGAGTCTACAACAATAATGTCGAGGGCGAAGTAAGTTTTATCAAAAACATTGCATGCAAATAACGAGCAATAATATACAAATCTAGCTGGATTCAAACATTTTATACATAGCTATGTATACAAATTACTTTTTAATACTTATTCTAAATTTTCGAGAGTTCCGAGAGTTCCGCGAGTTCCGAGAGTTCCGAAGTACGAACGACGTTTCATTATACTCCACTGTTTTATTTCTTTTCCCAGATGAAAATGGAAATAGCTGAAAAGACCCGCACTCTGGAATTTGTGGGTCTCAGCATATCTCTGGTGGCTTTACTTGCTTCCCTGGTGATTTTCTGTCGATTTAGGTGAGTATTTGAAAAAGCGAAATATCACCTCGGCCGAGGTGATATTTTTTCGCGATAAACTTAGAATAAAATATTTAGACACTACCACCCTGTCACGGCTCTGAGTCCTTTATTTCTTGAAATTTTAATTTGAAACATTAACGTTCTTGATTAATGTCACATTTATATCTGAATCTCATAATCTGAATATCAACATATGTATTAGTAACTAATTGTAACATATTAATAATTAATGTTCATGCGATTTTATTCATCCAAATCCCGGTTGAAAAGGACATTTGTATAAACATTCAAAAGTTCTCAAATTCTCAATTCTCAATTGTTTCAAATACTGACATACAATTAATTTTGCTTCCTATTAGGAAAGCAAATGCGTCATTATACAGAACGAACTGTCGATATTCCTTCAAAAAGAGTTAAACAAGATTAATTGCATTAAACTTACAGTTACACGTTTATATGTTGTGTATAATATAATATTTAATGATTTAGAAATCAATCCAATAAAATAATTGCATAAAATTACATCCAGCGTGCAGTTGTAAAACTGCTGTTGCTCTGCATAAATTTACATCTTAAAGAGCTGAACGGCTAAAGTTAATGCTAAACGATCGTTGCATTATATGTTCTAGGTCATTGAGAAACACGAGGACCAGAATTCACAAGAATCTCTTCGTTGCCATGGTGGTGCAAGTACTAATCAGATTAACATTGTACATAGACATCGCGATCTATCGTAGAAAGCCGCACGGCGTGCAACGAGGAATAGGAAATACCGTAAGACACGATGGAATTATTTTACTTTTATAAGTGCGAGAGAAGAGAAGATAAGATCATTTTCTCAATCCTTCTCGCGAACGTCCAATATTATATATTTTTACTCCATATTTTTCCGTTTCTTGTTTCCGTACTATTCCCTAACGTAATTACGAGACGAGAGTGATCTCGATGAATTCGCATTTTAACGAAATGCTTCACCGTAAAGCCCGGGAACGAGCTTGAGATGCGATTTTATTAAAACTAAAATTAGACTGATTAAATTCAGACACCCATTATTCGGCATCGCGCTTCCTCGCGCATGCAGAAACGGCTTGCATTAGCATGTGAGCCCACTCTGCGCGAAACGCGTTATATTTTTCGTCTCGTTTACAGCCGGTGCTGTGCGAGGCCAGTTACGTGCTGCTAGAGTACGTCAAGACTGCGATGTTCATGTGGATGTTTATAGAGGGTCTGTTTCTCCACAACATGGTGACCGGTATGTACTCAAAAGCAGGACGCACTTTACATATATCTTGCCCAAAACTGTCTCGTTGAAAGCATGACGTGTTTGAGAAAAAGCGAACCTTACTTAAGAAGAAAATGAAGAAGAAGTTTCCTATGATTTGTAACACAAATTTCAACCTAGAAGCAAACGGTGAAATATTGTTGACAAGTAAATTAGCTTTAAGAAAGATGTAATTCAGATTTTAATTACATTGTGATTGTCACGTAATTTCGCTTTTCTATGAATATGATTTTACAGTGACGGTCTTTCAAGAGACGTCTTATTATCGTATGTACCGTTTTATTGGATGGGGATGCCCAGTGCTGATGACCTCGGTTTGGGCCCTCGTTATGGCGTTTCATTACCATCCGAAATCAAAGTGAGTTTTGATTGCTTGATTGCATGGAGAGCATGTAAGACCAGTGTGTGTATTATCACTATCTAACACGTCATCAGTAATATTACAGAAATCTTCATTTTCCAAAAACTTACTTTCCGAAAACTAGCTACAGTTTCATATTCCGAAGCATCGAAATAAAATTCTATTAAACTGAAGTTCGCGTGGAGATCGAAAGAATATTATCTGTTATATAATATTATGTATTTTACATCACACACGTTACTACATCACTCAAAAAATATTTTATGAGCAATTTTCACTCGTTAATAATTTACAAAAATCCTAGAATTAATATTCTCTCCGAAATAATGATTAGCATTTTTGTTAACTCATTCGGTGAAGTACAGTACGGTGCGTTAATTCGGTTCGGGTAATAATTAAGGATGGGCAAAAATTACTTGATTTTTTAAACATAGGTGCTTTGCGACAATACGATCCGAACCGAATTATTGTACCGCACATGTACGTCGTATGTGATAGATAATTATAGATATACATATATAGATAGTTATAGATAAATAAATATATCGCAATATTAGATTTCTCAGATGCTGGTCGGGGTACAATTTATCGTCCTATTTTTGGATCCTTGAGGGACCCAGATTTGCGGTAATTTTGGTGAGAAATTTACTATAATAAATTTTTAATAATCGATTAAAAAAAGATGCACTTGATTACACATACCTTCGATTAAATTATATTAATATACATATAAAATACCTGTGAGCTCGTAGACTCGTAAATAACTGTAGTTATTTTAATATTAATAATTTTCTATCATATGCAATAAATAATAAAATTGCAGCACACGTGATAGTTGACTTTTTGAAGGAAGCAATCGGGCAGCTAAAAATATAATTGACATTGTATCTGATAATCAAGTTAAAGTTATCAATAAGTAGCTTTACTCCGTCGTATTTCTTCTTGTTATTTTCTTTCAGCTCAACTTTTTGTTCTTGCTAAACATTATAAGGGTACTCGTGGTGAAGATGCGGCAAAGTCATACAAGCGAGATCGAACAAGTTCTGTAAGTAGTGTACGCAAATAAACAGCAAATCCGAATTTCTGCGAGAGGATTAAATTACCAAGGATTTCATACACATTTTTGAATTTCGAAATTTACGATTTCTCGCCCAAGCGTTTCTCGTCAATCTCAGTCGACTACGTAATTAAAATTTTTTCACACTAACAAAATCATCCTTTATGTTATTTAAAAATATATCAATGTTCGCATCGCAAAGGATCTATGCTTTTGCTAATATCATTACGTTTGATATTCCTTCGTGTTTATTCACCCGGTTCGTTTTAATTGACCTGTACAATTCATTGAACAATTTAATTAAACTCGTTGTGTCGTAAACTATTGTTGCTTTTTATTTAGCTTAAATTTTATGAACTTTTCATGTTTACCTTTGTTTGCAAGGAATCTGTGCGCACGGCTGGTTATCCAATTCATATCATTTTTCGCTAAACTGCGACTAGCAATTAACGAGTGTCGCGTCGTTGTTAAAAGCGATTCTGTTGATTCTGAAAGATGTTATTATATGCTGCACACAGGAAAGCCGTGAGGGCAGCCGTGGTACTTCTACCACTATTGGGTATCACTAATATACTGTTCATGATCGAAGCCCCGTTGGATAACGTGAGCAAGTTCGCTGTGTGGTCCTATTCCACGCATTTCCTACGATCGTTTCAGGGTCTTTTCATCGCGACGCTTTACTGCTTCCTTAACGGCGAGGTGAGTCTCTTTCGTTTAGAAACATTTTCTCAATTACATTTAAAATTTATATATTACTTTATAATCAATTTATAATCAATTGTATGATTAATTGAATTAAGATTTACTGGCCGATACACTCGAGTAATTATTATCTACCAATTTAGTTTTCGAAAAGGAGTGAAATATAATTACTAAGAAATTACAATTTTATTTATTCACCAAGTCTTTGCGGTGAAATCAAATCACATCGACAAATCTATAAAATTGGAAATTAAAGATATTATAACATACAGACAGACAATCTGTCTGTATTAGTCTTATTATCATAACTCTCTATATTAGTCATATTAAGATAATAAGAAAGATGTGAAAGTTTTTTTTTAATGAATCATTAAATTTATATAATCATAAATTTATATCATCACAAAGAAAAGAGATACAAGAGTTTTATATCCCTCTTTTTTATATAATGTTTTATATCTTTTATTCAGGTAAGACTCGCTTTGGATAAAACTATCGCCGTTTATCTTTCTGTAAGAGGAGGTGACTTGCAAACTAGAAGACAGTCGACCCTTAGCGGCTGTCAACCCCAGCGAATAACTTCGGGTAAGCGTGAAGCTCATTCTACTAATTTCAACATAAATATTTCAACGTAAATATATTTTTTTTATGTACACGTCGCTGATAAAAGCATTCAGAATAACATTTTCCCCAACGAGAACCGTGTCTCTTGAAAATTAACATTGCATTATTATCTCTTAAGGACGACATATTTCCATAGAAATATATTTCATCGAACAACTTTCGCAGAAAAATGTATAAATTGCGCCTCGGGTTAACCGAGGAAATAGTCTAATTGATATTTATAAGATATCCACGTTTGCAATGTGATCCATAACGACGACGTGTAACTCTGGCAAATTAAGATCCTTCATTTAAACCGATATACGGTAACTCTTAATGGGCGAACAACCGCTGTTTCATCTGACGCATGTTTTCATGTGTAGTATCGAAGATTTATTCTTCCTTGAAATTTTTTATTCGTAAAATAATCCTCAGTATATTCAATTAACATTGAATTATCGGACCTACTGTATTTACGAAGTATAAAGGCGATTGCAAATGTGTAACAGTTATTACACAATTCCCATTAATGCATTAGATGATCGACCGATCGCAGCTTGTTATAGCGTCGTAGAACTTGAAAATCCGTAATCTCGGATTACTAAGTACATAAGCCGATAACATAATCTTATTGAAAAATGTTCCTCTAATAGTCGATCAATACTAAAGCTACTAATGAGATGATTAAATGTATAATAGCCGGGAGCGTGCGTACATATCTTCTGAAACTCGATATGTGATACATTCTTCGATATCAATTGATTCTCATTAATTAAGTGCACACTTAAACTCTTTATAGTCATATTTAAGAGCTAATTATTTCTTGAAATTTTGAGAATAATTGACACCTTCTTCACACGATGGCCGCAATAAGCGAACATTAACGTCAATCCTTATAATGCAATTTTTATTTTTTATTAGTGTGTTGATATAATTTATTATTTAAGGTGTTCATATTTTGACGCCAACTACGCGCTAATTGAACACGAAAAATATTAGACACCAAGTAATATCTTCACTCACCAAGTAGTGTCTCCATTCAAGAATCTCCCTGCTCTAATCTTTCTTTCAAGTAGTATTACTTTTAATTTTCCTTAAAAAAGTAATATCACAAAATTGTGTATATATATGTGTATTTTTTTATATTTAAAGGTATATTTAACCCCCAAAGACTCTTAATTCTGCTGGAGCTTCAAATATCTTTAATATGATCGAGGATATTATATATTTTGTGCTTCAGCAGCGCCAAGTTCCTTGCGTTAATTTCTTTTTATTTTCTTAAATTTCGTAGGAAAGTTGATTTATGCAAGATTTAGCTTTGCTGTAAAATATAAATAAGAGCTATATTCCCAGTGTGTTCATTATCCGTATGTAGTGATCGAGATAGTGGAGGAAGAAACGAGACCTACCGAATTGTTACGGCTGTGCTTTCGCGGAGGAAACATCCCGCCACCGGATCGACCTATCGAGTAAGTAGCAATCGAGAAGGCCGGCGCTGATTAGTTCATTAGTCCGTTCCCAATCTTACATTAATTGTACCACATTGTGTTATAGAATACAAGAACAGAGGGATGACAAAGATGAATGTGCACTTTCTCGAGGTATCTGGCTACATTTTAATGCATTGATGCTGTACAGGAAATAATTTTCTTTCTAATTGTGTGCTTTAATTTCCTTCGCTTCTTACTCGTGCAAAAAAGACAACCAGTTTCTCGTCGTACGTTGGAGTGAACGGTTCCAATACGCAAGCAATTGCATAGCAATTAATATTGTTTGCCTTTTTCCACCTATCTTTTCATTTTTTTTACAGTTTGGCGACTTTGGCTTAATCAATTCAACTTTTATTTATTGGGGAATTAAAATACAATTTCTTATTTGTAAATATGTATAGATGAAAGTCCCCTATTATGAGATAGACTTGTAAAATGAAATAGTGGAGTTTCTGCTAAATTAATAAGCATTATCTGTTTAGTGGAAAATTTATTAGATCGTGCGTGTTAATCGTTGCAAAAACAGATTTGTAAAATTGGATATTGAAAACCCGCTATTTTACGTTAGGAGCCTATCTCGTAATAGGGGAATTTTCTCTATAATTAACTTAATTAATAATGAATTAACGTTTGTCTATACAACAGAATAATTTAAGCTAAAACGTTTACACACATATTACGTACATACTCAATCTGATATTGCACGGAAAATGTTTCTACTTAACGAACAAATATTTATGTTCCGATACGAAACAAATCTGTCCTTTGTCTTTTGTGTCTCACTTTACAGAGCGAGGAAGTTCCAGCACAGGAAATGGCGAAAGGAAATGACAATGTATTAGAGTTCTCGAGATTACGTCCAGCCCTTTAGACTCCTCATGTAATAGCTTTTGTTCTACCGTTCCTTATCTCCCGTTTCATTCTCAGTATCTTGATGTCGCCCACGAAGTAATAGGATTATCTGAGGCATAATCCAAGTAGATTACTGCATTCCTTGCTTTATGATTAGAGTAATGTTATGGAATCAAAGTGAAATTTGTTCTCGAATTCAATTTTATTTCAGTGAAATTATTTTTTTAGGAATTAATCGAATTATCGATTAACAGAATTAATAATTGATATAAAAAGAAATGTTTCTAAAAATTTATCTATCTGCTTCAGTTTTTAGAAATTGATTTAAAGGCGGTCGGAAGTTCGAATGCAGCATCGGCAGCTCCACGATCCATGGAGTTCTTTTACTGCGAGGCTGGCTGCCTTGTGAAATTCACGTGTTTGCTACAATCAGACTGCCGTCCTGAAACGTGGAGTAATTGCTTTTTGTCGGAATTGTTCGGGTTTCCTGACTAGAATAAATTTTATGAACAAATACATATAATGTAAGAACTCGTACGATTTGTAATATGATTTTTTTAAATTACATTATTTGTATTTGTTCATCAAATTTATTCTAGTTAGGAAACCCGAACAATTCCGACAAAAAGCAATTACTCCACGTTTCAGGACGACAGTCTGATTGTAGCAAACACGTGAATTTCACAAGGCAGCCTGCCTCGCAGTAAAAGAACTCCATGGATCGTGGAGCTGCCGATGCTGCATTCGAACTTCCGATCAAAGAATACGGATTTTCCTTTGACGCAGATGTGCGCAGTATGTGTCAGTGAACGAATTTCTCACAAAAGTCTGATCGTGCATCAAGCCAAATCTTCAAGTCCCGTGATGTTATCCGTATCTCCTTTTGTAAATTAATGTCGTCCAAAGTTTTTTAAATTATACATTTAAACAATTTCTTCCCCATTATAACATCATAAAATAAAGCAACGTTTTAGAATGACTAAGTGAAACAAAACGTCTATACCTATTATGTTATTGGCTTAATTATATTATTGTTAAAATTTTGTAAATCACTTTCATATCTCTGAAATTATATTGTTACACTTCCTTATGTAATTTTGACAATATCTAGAATTATAACTGTATTGTACAAATCGTAATTTGGACATCATTGATATTAGCGATATACGAATAACGACAAGTAGTGAAGGCCCTCAGAAAAATATAAGTAACAAGGGGAGAAAGCCAATACGAGTCAGAAAAGAACAGAACTCGGTTCTCGAGATTAAAAAATTCTCTTTAATGTATGAATAACAAACGTTTCGACCCTTGAGAACTCACGAGACTCACGAGAATCAGCTGCGATAGAAGGATAACTTTTACGTTTGACACACAGTTGTTTCTTTTTATTTCTTGATGATTTTGCCTTACGTTTTTATTCGCTCTTTTCATAAGATCACTGAAGAAGACCCGACGAAGAACAAACGTCGAAACGTTTGTTTTTTATACATTAAAGAGAATTTTTATCATTTAAAACGTGAGAACCGAGTTCTGTTCTGTTCTGTTTCGCATTAACATTCTCCCCTTACCACTCATTACATCAAGTAAGACAAAAAGTCTTGTAAATTACACCACCTTAAACATTTTTTAATTATCTAAATCTTAACAAAAGAATTAAAAATTTGCAATTATTTTAATAACAAAATTGATGTTTATAAATACATTTTGTTTTGCAATTAATATTTAAATTGAAAAATTATGAATGATAATTTCTGAAGAAACTTTTTGTTAAAAAACGTTTGTAAATTTGTCGTAAATTTTATCTTTGCAATAATAATCACAGTGGCTTTGTTTAATAAATGCGGATAAATACTTAATACTTTTATTCATAAGCATTCAGTTTTAATAGAGAACGGTCTAAGATAATTCGTCTTTTTAACCATAAAAAACTCGAAGCGGGAAAATCGATGATCTTAGATCACAAGGAATGGAAATCCGGCTTACTAATCGCGAAAGATCGTCTTTACGTCAAAGGAAGCTATCAGATGCGATTTGGCCTTAGTCGTCTAAAATTGCCCGCTCATTATCCGACAAAATCCTATTCTTTAACACTCATAATTGGTGTGCGGATCAAACGTGCAGGAAGAGCCACTAAAATGTGAAGGTTTCGAAGCTTTTAAGAGATTTCAAAAAAGAAGAACTTATGAAATACTGCAGTCAATATCACTAAAATAAGAAATCGAGAGTTCTGAATTTTTAATCTTGTCTAGCATACCATTTATTGGTTTTTCGTATACGTTTATCGCGAGACTTTTATATAAATTTTATTCCCCACCAGATGTATTAAAATTCGAATGGAACTCAATTTCGAGTTTGAGAATTGCCGAATTTATCTTCGGTTTTGCCAAAATTGTGCACCGTTACTCAGTTACGTGCCGTGATTTTGCCGAGTCTCAATTGTAAACTGATATGAAAATAGATCGTCGACAGTTTTAAAAACTTGTACTATTTTCTCAATGGCAGTTAAATTAATTTGCTGTTCCAACAAAAAGCTGTTTTAAGTTTGACAAATATTCGGTGGACAGTTTACTGAATTGGAGAAAAATATACAAAATTAAAGACAAAAATATTATTAGCCACCAAAATCCAGTCCAATCACAAATGGCATTTTCTTTACATAATTAATTGTAATTTACAGAATGTTCCTATGTATCTATTGTTATAAAATAAATTAATTTTTAATTGCACATACAGTTTTATGTCATAAAAGGATTACTCTGTTCTTCTGTATATTAAAATATCATAATGTTCCGATTTAATTATACATTTATTTATTAATTTAATTATTAATTTAATTATCTCGCCATATAATGACGTTATTTTCTTTCTTTAACTGTAGATTAGCATTAAAATAATCGTAAAATCTTCCCAGACATATGAAATGGGTTTCACTTAATAATTCGTCCAATTTGAATTAGCCGAGACACCCATTCTCAAGGTAGGTGTATCCTTTGTCATTTACACCGCAAAATTGCGACAAGACAGTCGCCCGAAGCGAGTTAAAGTTTAACTCTACTCTTGCAAGTTTCTCTTTGAGAATACGCATTGTGTTACTAATCCAGTTACTTTGTGTCTATTGTAGCAATGAGGATGATAGTAAATTAATAAGAACGTGATTAAGCAACCGGATGAAGCGAGTGCTTCTCAAGAAAATTACACTTCCACGGTTCGCGTAATTGACAGTATTATTTCAGGCTATATTAATTAAATTACATTGCGGAAATTCAATTTAATTTGATCGGATGTGACACGCAATGGTACTTTTAATAAGTCACCGCTACTTCATATTTTAAGCGCGCAGTTTGTAATGAATGGAGCAATCACCATTTTCTGTATAACTTTTTTCAACCGCAGAATTAGGCATGCTTGAATGCGGGAGAGTTTATAAATGACTTTTACGTCGCGAAAGTAAGGTAAGTAAAAAGTAAGCGAAACACAAAAGTTTTATACTCTAACAACGTCATAACTTTTAACGTAATAAAAGTGCACTTTACATCGTGCATAGCAGCATCAATTATTTACAAAGTTTATTTTAATGGTTTTTCATCACATCAATCGGTAAATTCATGAGCACTATCTTTCCTAGAATTTTAATAGAGAAAACATTTGGTACGGGTGAAAATACAACGTTTTGCAATTAATTTTATATAAAATGTAACAGATTGTTACAGCTTATTCGAATCCTCGTTTGAATCATTTGAATAAATAAAATAAAAGCACAGAACAGATGCTTCATTTTGCACAAGTAGCAAATAACAAAAATGTAAGACACTTATACCTTACGATTTCTCCGCCGTTGCCCGATGCCTCCAAGACCTCCTCCTCCTTTTAGATTTCCTTGTTGCACTAACACAACACTCACTCGCGAAAATCATCGATCGCGCGAAATTTCGGGCACTCCCGGAAGAATAGGATAATGAATAAATCACTTTTGAATTGGCGATATAAAACGCAACGCGAAGATGGAACAGATTACACGAAATCGATAGAACTAAGATTAGAGATTTTATCTCAATAGTTGGTGTATACAAATGTATATTACTAAATTGCAAATCTTCATTTATTATGGGCAAAAATTATGGAATTATTTACTTTAATAATAATATAAATTGGTATTAAATACTTCATTAATTCAAATAAAAATAACTTCATGACATTTAATAAGTATATTGCGTTCGAATTTATCGAAGCGAAAATATGAGATGCAGCAACACAGGTGTTGTTTTTAAATGTTTGTTTCTAAATGAGTTTTATTGTGCCAGATCACAATATAGAAAAACGCGCTAGCGTACAAAATTTTCTACGAAGGAACATCGATTTCTGTTATTAAACGTATGTAATATGAAATTTTGCCCTAAAACGAGACATTAAGCCGTCATTCGTCGTTGGATACGCTCCGTCGATAGCGAGTAGGCGTATTTCAGTTCCCCAGGTTCTCTCACTCAGAGACCTTCGTCAAAGCGAGCTTTTATATTTTATATCTTGGTCGTAGTCTCTAAGCATTTCCTGCTTTTCAATTTCGTAAACTGTTGCAGTTTTTCATCTTTAAAGACATTCAGTATATATATATTTTTTATGTTAAATATATAATTACATTAACATAGTAACATTATATTTTTATCATTTTATCATAATGTACGAATATTATTATATAAATATTAATTACCTTCATTAATATCACAAATTAAATAGATATATTATGTTACATTATCTCTGATATTTTCATCTTGCACGACTTAAACGATACTTTTAGACCGGTAATTCAAAACGGAGAACTCTCTTTCTAATCTCCGCGTTTGGAATCTAAATAAGTCTTCTAGATAGTTCACGAACGAGTCACACACGAGAAAGACACTAAGAAGTCATGAAAGAGATCTACAAAAGGACGGATTTGCAACCCTATATCCATATCGTCATCGTTCATCCAATTGGTAATTAATTATCGATCGTCCTAACTGTGCAAACGGTCTGATTGAATCATTTTCCCGTTTATCGCGAATTAACGTAATACTTACCTACCACTATGTCATAATAATTGCGCCTACTTAAATGATATTCTACGTCGTAAAGACTATCACAGATACGTTCTAAAAGCCTATAATTTTTATCTGCGCAATAGCTCGATTAACGTGCGTAAAGAAATCCCGTTGAAGTTTACTAATATGTACCCTGCACAAATCGATTAATTAACTGTATTGGTCTAATCCCTCGTTGACCATCGGTGGAAAAATGATATTGTCTAATTTCTCAGTACAAATGTCGAAGGAGAAAGCCTTCCTGTTCAATCCTCAATGTTTATAGCTACATTCGTTCATATGCGGAGATTATCGAAATTCGTCGTGAAAACTTTTCTCGGTGTCTACCATCTTGCTGTCGAGAAACAGGTCCATCTTGCTCAGAATTTCCGGAAGATCCAGTCTCCCGTCTAAATTCGTATCCGACAGCGTGATCAAGTGTTGGGCCTCTTGGATAGCATGTCTGGGGTTTCGTGGGTCGATGTACATCTAGAAGAAAAATTTCAGATTTTTCACAAAGTTGAAAAAGGATACTTATATACTTTTCTTTTTCATTACGTTGTAGCAGATGCGTAACGATATGTAAAAATTTACCAAAAGCATTTCCTTACGCCAATGCCGTATAATTTTAATACACGGTTACGCAAAATGTTCAAAGTTCGAGTTTCGTCAAATATTTCGGAAAAATTGTTTTAACTCTTTTAAGTGGTTTTTTACATGCGTTTAAGGGAAATACGCTGCAAATATTGCAACAGCTAACGCTGCTCGTTCGGACCGAGGGGCCTCTGCGTCTCTTATTAATTTATTTACGCTCTATTACTCACCAGCAGCTCGGTTCGATCCGCTTTCCCGTTCTTGTTCTTATCAATCAGATGTCGGAACTCCTTACGCCTGTCTTCGCTGCCTCCTATCGACTGTGGCCGATCTTCGCGTAAATCCAGGCCGACCCCTTCCGCCGGCAAGTCCGAGAACTCGTCTTCCGTTAGTTGCTCGTCGCCGTCCCGATCTGAGAGTAGACGAGCGGATTGCGGTTATTGCCGGGAATTCATTAGCCAGAGAGTAAAGTAAAAAGTACAGGAGACGGTGCCCGACCGAATTTCTCAAAGAGGTCCTCCACCATTTGCAGAAGGGCCCTGTGACTGCTCTCGGGATGTGTGAAAGCGAGAAACTCGTCCAGAGCCAATTTCTCGGGATCGTTTCTAGCGGCCTCGGCCCATCGCGCTCGATCCCTCATTATGCTCTCCTTCAGCGCCCTTGGCATCTCGCTGTGCTTCTTGTTGTGAGAATTTATGTAGGTCTCGGAGAAGCCGTGGGTCCTCAGGAAATAGGCGTGATATTCGTCCCACGATACCTCACCTGCAACAAATATTGAGAAATAACGCTAATTCATACCGTCGATCTTTACTCCGATTCCCGATTTCTCTAGACTCTACATGCGTCGCCACAAGATTCCGCAAAAGTTAAATTGTTTAAATAAACAATTGATAAATTAGTTTATATATATGTTAATTAATTACATTTCATTAATCTGTTAATATCTATTAATTAATCTAATGAATACAAATCGAGGCGATTAATTATTAGCGTTACTCCATTGTCCGTACCGCTCTTTAAAAGTCAACCAGTGAATAATCACCGAAAACAGTGAACGGTCACTGATTTACGGTTATAAATATACCACTGAAAATTCCAGTGCTATACTTATAACTGTAAATCAGCGACTATTCACTGTTTTCAGTACTTAATCAGAGAGCGTGCTGGTTTCACAAAAATAAAATGATGAAGCGCATATTGTGGCGAGAATGTGGTTTTCTTCGTTATTGCGTGTCAATTTGACAATGAGACTAGAATATCGAAGCAGCAATATTGAAATCGCACGTCAATTATTCCCGTGTAATCCCTACGTATCGTAGGTCGAAACCCGTTCGACTTGGAAACGATGTCATCGTGAAATAAAGCCATTACGCGTAGATGGCAAGCGTTAATTAACGCCAGTTAAGCCGCGATTGATTGTAATTAACGCCCGTGCAAACCGCACCGCAATTAACAGTGCAATATTCGATATACCGTTTCTAGGATTGTTGTCGATGGCGGTGAACAAGCCGACGTTCTCTCGCATGGCCCGCGTGATGTGCTCGGTGATCTTCGCGTGGATCCACTTGGCCAGCTCCTGAATGTCCAGCAATTGGTTCTCGTCGGTGTCGGCTCTCCGGAAAATGTCCTCGAGAAGGTTTCTCGGATCCTGGCGATTTTCCGCCTCCACGACCTCCCGTATGCTCTCGTCGTCCCCGTGCCGATTGATTCCCGTGTCCTTGTGACCCGCCAAGCTCTTCTTGTCGGCCGTCACGGTCTCCAGTTCGAAGAACAGGTTGTCTATCGCGACACCCTCTTTGTCCCTGTCGCTCGGGGTCGATAAACTTTTCAGAGGCACGCTTTTATTGTACTTGACAAATAGGAGCGATATATAAATCACGAGCGGCACCAGGACGGTCCATCGCAGGAATCGCAGGCAAGTTAGCTCCTGCTTGCAGAACGCTCGTCTTACCTTTTGACGGGATTTAATCCTCATGTACTTTTTCTAGTTAGTTGTGCTTATTGTATTATTGGGAAAAAAATGTAAGAGTAAGGTGCAAATGTGAATAATTATTTTAATGAAGAAGAACGGAGGGAGGCACTTGTACGAAAAATATTAGCGAATATTGCGTTGGAAAAGAATGATTCAAGTAAAATACGAAACAATTATCTTTCTGACGCGTTTTATATTTGACACTGCAATAAATGTCAAATTTTATGCATATACGTATTTATTTATCGCTTAATTTCTTTTATTAACAATTAATTTTGACAATGCTCCCTATTTTCTTGCAAAATGAATAACGTTTCAACTGAAGATTCGAATTTTTACAAGTTCCGGTGCGCTGTGTACAACGACACGAACGAAATGTTTCGCAAAATAAATAATATCAACGTATAATTGGCATCGGCATTTTGGATTAAAGGGGCAAGAGCGATTTTGTCCCGATACAAAATGCCGGTAACTTCGTTCGTACTCACAAGATGAGACAGGTACATCTCGGCCACGTAACACGATGACCCGAGCCGCTTTCTAATTCCCTCTACGTTTTCCCCGTCAACCGCAAACCGGCGAAGTTACCAATCCCCGAGTCTCCATGCAGCGAAGATCGATCTGTCGCCTGTCCGTCACTACCGCGCCTGCATAATCGAACCAAGACACCCTTTGATCGTCAGCGATAAATAGACAGAGGGTAGTCGAGGATTGAAGGACCGGGCGGTAGCCTCCGGGCGGGAGCTGTCAGTCCCTTTAATCGCCCCGAGAAATCAGATCCAGCCGAGCCGCCGCGGCGAAACGCCTCACGCGCCAAGTCGGACACTCGCGATGGAGCACCGTGGATTCGATCGCAGCATCCCCGCGCATCCCTCGATCAGCCGCGTGGAATTCCGGCGACGGGGTCTACGATCGCACGGCTGTCAACCAGGTGAATCTGTCACGTCAGCGCGTTCGCCGCGAGTGCCTTGCGAGGACAGGCGGCCTCGCAGGAGGAACAGCCGCACGCTGCCAGACAGGCCGCACGCTCACCGCGTATTGATCCACTTTCACTGTCTCGTTCTCCTTCTCTCCTCCCTCCGGCAATAACACAAACGGTGTTAACGTACGCTCGCTGCGTACTTAGATATTTCACGGGATACTTGCACTCGCCTGGTAGTGGACGTCGATGCCATATTTAATAACTTTTTTTCTTAACCGTCTAAGGGAAACTTCTTACTTTGCTACCGCTCCAAGTAGAACAAGAGTTTGACTGATAGAGGCCATAGTCTTGAAGAACGAAACTGCAGTCGTTCTTGTTTTCAGCTGAGCTCAGATTAATACTAAAATTATTAAAGTTTCAACAGCCCAACGGTTCGAGATTGATTACTGAATGACGTTTTAAAGAAAGATTTCTTATTGTCGAAGTTGTTTCACCTGTAAGGAGATAACTGGCTCAATGTAGTTGGCCGTTGCCCAATTATTTTATTATCAATATAATTATTAAAATCAGCCCTACTGCGTGAGGACCGATAAGTTTATAATTATCGTTCCATGTCCTTAAATATTTATTGTTCCACAAACATTGTATTTACAAAAATTGAATATAATAATATTTTCGTGTCTATTTTAATCCGCTAATTCTAAAATATTCGCAGAACGCGCTGTCACGTTAATAAATTATGTAAAAGCAAAGGTAAAAGTACAATAGCATGGTCAAACATCTTTAGTGCATGCCGAGATACCCGTCTCCATAAGATATAAGAATTCCTAGCGTGAAGCAATGCGCAAGGTATAAGATGATAAAATAATTCTGGATGTGTAAAATCGGTCGTGCGTCAAATAGAAAAAAAAAGACTTAAATAATTTTCTCAATTACTCGTAATATTTAATAACGAATTATCGTTGTTTAATAACGCGGTTATAAATGCATGATACGTAAATTAACTATACGCGTAATATATCTAAATATTTCGCCATCGCGTTTTGCATGGAAAGTTAGCTGGACAAGTCAATCGCACTCTTCAGAGTATTATAAAAAAAAAAATGCGCTTGCGCAAATGCGGGTCGACGTTTCTCTCGCAAATTTCTTTTTCAGCATCGTTTCCATGCAAATTTGATAACAAAAGCTCATATTGATCTGCTCTGTCATGGCAATGTATCTTTGGGAATAAATTCCGAAGTGTTGCAACGTCTACTATTCCGTCTCAGTCACGTACTCTCGGATCACTTTGCGCAGGAAGACAAATATGCAAGTGTTAAAGGAAATAAGACTCTCTGTAATTCTCTCAAACTACCTTTGTATTGATTATAATTACGATTAACTAAAATCATTCTCGTACGATACGGATTGCAGAATCCGGGGTTTTTATTTTCAACAGGCCCACGAGTAGGAACGCACTGTGTGCCTTGAATAGTTAATCTTATATTGTCCGTCGAAACTAATACTGGCAGGAAAAGAAAAGTAGTGGAATTACGATCAATTCATTCAAGTCCAGAACGACGGAAGTCCGAAAGATGTCAAAACGATTAGAACCTTTTTTTTTTTAAATGTCTCTGCAACGTTTGCCAAATTTCTGCGTCGTCTGGGCACGGATTTGACGCCTTCTCCAAGGCGAACCCACAAGAATGAACATTCCGCCGCGCAACTCGTCTCTTTGATCATCCGATAAATCATCCGATGACAAGTTTACTGAATTAGACTATATTTTCTCCGTAGGCTATACGTTCCCCTAGACGTGTACGATCTCCATCGATGACGCTCCGCGAGAGGATCACTTCGGACTCTTGCAAACGTCTGCTTGCCGTGGCTTTTCGTCCTCGAGCTCGAGGCCGAAGTTCGCGATACCCTGGACATTTGTGGATGCACAAGGCTTCGTCTGTATGCGGAACATGGCTGCGATCGGCGGGCTCAGATAATCCTGATCGACATCGGCAGGATTTTGCGCGCCCGTCGCAAAGCTCACTACCAGGCCCACCAGCATGGTCAACATGCAACCGATCGCGCTGTACCATAGGTAACTAGTCTGCAAATCATATCGCGTAAGACTTATTTTGTTTCGTCAATGCGTTTGTTATGCAAATAAATCCTTCTTCTAAAACGAATCATACGAAAGCTAGAAACGGACGCACAGCGGGAAAGAATCAAAGAGTCAAAGCTCAAAATGAACAAATTTATCACGCGCAACTGCGCGGAGTCTAATAGATCCATATAAATAAAGTAAATGCATTAAAAACTTAAAGATTTCATAATTCACCGGCAGTTGCTTGATTGCAGAAGTGCAACTTTAATTCACCGTTGTACGTAATGTAATTGCAAATACTGTCGAGAAGACAAGTCTCACCTTGTATATAGACGAGACTTCATCATCGGAGTTGGGCTCGAATTGATTGAGCACGATCGTGGTATCATTTATGCAAGGGCAGCCTGCAATCGATGTAGGCTTGCTGTCCAATTGAATCTGTCCGTTTACAGCCGCAACTTGGGCGCCTAATCCAATCCACAGCACGACTACCAAGCTCGAGATGGCACCTACCATTGCTCCTTTGGCGTTGGCCCACGGCACAAACATGCCCAAGGAGAATAATCCTAAGGTCACTCCGCCAACCATGCCATTGAAAGACAGCGCAACCTAAAAATCAAGAGCGACAAATAAAGAGACTTTCCGATAACAATCATTTAAATCAAAAGGCCAACAGAGTCAAACAACGACATGCACGCAGTAACGAATATATTTGAAGTGAGAAGCTAAACTGTCGTACGAGAAACTGGACAATGGCATTGCGTCGTGAGATGATAACATTACAGGAAGGTACGCTTGAAAAATTTGTATCACTGTTCTTCAAATACTCTTCTTCGAATTCTCGAAAGAGAAATGGAAGCTACCTGCAAAACGCTACCGAGACGCTCTACGACGAACACCAGCGCGAAACTGACAGCTCCGAAAAATATGCTGATCCATCTGGCGTAAATGGCACCTTTGCTTGCCGGCAAGTCCATCTGGAAGAGTCCATGGAGAATGTCCTCGCAGGTTATCGCTGCCAATGCGTTCAGGGCACACGCTACAGTTCTGAAAATATCGTTCGACATATTTCCAAATTTTGTCCAGCGGATTCTTAACGAAACAAATTGATTTCTCATTGGATATATACAGTTTTCTTTCTTGTGAATGTTCTACGAACCCGAGAGACGCGGCGAAGATACCAGCCACGAAGAGTCCGGGCATCCCACGAAGACTCCCTAAGAAATTCATCACGTACAACGGAAGTATTTGATCCTGGCCGCTTATATATCCGGCTGTCAAAGGATCGCAGTCTTTGTAAGCGCTGTACAACACCATTCCAGTCAGAAAGTTCACGCTATAAATTACAATCATGCCGAACGCAGACACCCACAGCGCTCTGTAAGAGACAATTAATTAACGAATAAACAATAATACATTTTTAGTAATAGAGCATATAAATTGTTACTGTATCTCGTGCGTGATAAAGTAACAGATGAATGCAACAAGTGTATCGCACGTAGGATCGCCGCAATAAGTAAGATTATTGTACAATTAATTTTTCTCGCAAACTTACATCCTTACTTGCGAGATGCTCTCGACACTGAGATACTTTTGGACGGACGCCTGGTTGCTGCAGAACATGGTGGTCCAGTAAAAAGTACCACCGATCGCAACACTCCAGAAGCTATGCCGCACCGTAGGACTAGGATCCATATTGAAGAATTCCATCCTGCCGGATTTCGCGTTCTCTTCCCAAACGCGCGCGGTTCCACCCGCCCAGGACATTCCGTAGCCCAAGATGAGGAACAGCGAGCCGATAAGTACGGCGGCTTGGAAGGTATCGGCCATTATCACGGCTTTCATACCACCCTGCCGAGAACAGCAAATGAGTAAGATTATTGTACAATTAAATACCCTCTAAAAGTTCGTTTTTTTAGAGAGTACGATTGTTTAATTATTTACGCCTGTAATTATAATCGATTATAATCGTTGGAAAAATGCACACCTGTGAGGCGTAGAAAATGCAGACCACGTAGACTAGAGTGACGGCTATGTAAGTATTGAGGCCAGTGACTGTGAATGAAAGAATCTCGTTTATAATTTTCAATGTTGCTGAATTTTACAACTGGCGCGATCAATTGTGAGATTATTGACGGGTCAATCGATACACTCCCAAGTTGTGGTAGATATCTCGTGATAGAGGACTTTCCTCTACTTTGTACTTCTCACGACTATCTTTGTTATTTCGTTATTGCGACCGGACCGCGGGTAAGCTTGCAAATAAGTCCCTTGTTGCTCTAGCTTTCAACTTAATGATAAAATTAAAGCTGTAACTCCCCAACTATGATTCGAAGCAAGAACAAAAACCGATATTTATCACAAAAGCGCTTGTAACTTTAATTTCAATTACGCCACTTTGGAAGACACTGCGATAAAGTTCATCAAAGAATTGCCTGTTATCACTCACCGTGACTTAACGCTAATGCAGGTGCGTACACAGCTACCGACGTGTACAGCACCATTTGCAACATGTACAACGCGCTCGCGAGCAACCGGCAGTGCCGGTCGAAGCGCAGGTTCAGGTATTCGTAGCTCGATGTCAGCTTTAACTTCATGAACACCGGCAGGTATAGGCAAGAGGTGATCGGTACCACGAGTATGAAAGAGACGCAAGTCATCCAGAATTGAGTTCCCTGCAACGGAAACGGCGAGATTTTTTAAAGAACGTTCTATTAATAGGAGACTTTTCTTTTCGCCGATTCTCAGACTCCTTTCGGATCGTCTCTGTAAGAGTTTGAGAATTACTGAACGCACCTGTCCGTACATCTCCGCAGGATTTCCCAGGAGCTCGATGGCCGTGATGAAGCTGGCGGTCAATGACATCGCCGTGGGGAACGTGCCCATGCTGGAGCCGCCTAGCAGAAAATCCTGGCTGGTCTCCTGCTTCTTGGCGAAAAAGCCATAGAAGGTGCCAATCAGGCACGAGACCAGCAGCATCGTGGCGAACACCGTGTAATCCGCCCATGAGAAATAATAGAGCAAGGTGGGATGTTCAGCGCGACATTCCTCCTCGGCACTTCTTACGCGCCGCTGCTCCGCCGATGACGCCGACAGGAAGAGGAACAGGACGAGAAGATGCGGGCGCATTTTCTGGAAGTACCCGTCGATCATTTTTCTCCTTTGCGTACTGTACGCCTGTGCAGATTTAAATTAAAGAATTCTACTTCTAATTTATTTCCAAATTCTAAAGTCATGAAAAGTTCCTGAAACTTTCTTCTCCTATTTTCCTGCTGTTATGATATATTTATATTATCTTGTATATAGTGAAATCGACTGAAAAGTACTTTAGCAACGTCTTTGATATCCAACTCATAGAAAAGTGTGGATTAAAAAGTTAAATGATACAAGACACATAAGACGTAAATATTATTGAAAAATCGACACGTTTATTGAGAAATCTGTTATCAGTTCATTCAAAAAGTGCACCTATTACAACTCGCAGTTTTAATTACATCATTATTTATTTGTCGACCATCTGCTGTGTGAATTAATCATCAATCAATCGTGATTCACTCCATAATTTATAAGCTGATGTTTATCACATGACTGCGTACCAATGAAATGATCTTACGCACGCCAAGTAGAATTCGAAATGTGTCAAAATATCGATTAACTTGTTAAGAAAATCGTCCGGTAACAGAAATTAATATAAAAATATTCGTCAAGTGCGACACAGCAAGTTCCGGAAAATTATTCAACAAATATTTTTAATGGTACTTTAACAACGCTCGCATAAATTGATATACGAGACCGCCTCAATTGGTTCTTTCATTTGACACCGTTCACTTAAGTCTTATCGATCACGTCAAAGATATATCGCCTTGTTTCACACGTCATCGATATAACTTTGATCGAAATATCAATTAACTCAAATCAATGCGTCAATGGTTCGAGGGTGCTGAAACTTTATAGAGAGATAAAATGTTGGATTCAATTTGTACTACTCATATTTTGTTTTGCAAAAAATAATATTTATATATTATACTTTGTCTTTTTTTAGAACACAATAATTGATACCGTAATTTATTAAATTTGTTACGAACAATTACCGAAAAAATAAATCTTAAGCTCCATATCTAAGTTAGTGATTAAGCAGATACGGCGGTCAAATTGGAAATATTATAATAATTTTCAGATCCACACGAAAGCAAACACGAATCAATATTACCGCTTCAGGTGAATCACAGATTCTGGTCAAAAGAAACGCATCATTTATTGACCGCCTGTCGATTATTGCGTCATAAAATCAATGAGGAAATGTAATGTAGCGATCGACATGATTCTAGTTTAATAATTTGCACACAGCTATAAAAATAATTGCTAATACCTATCATCAGCATTGTTATTAACTATTCCTCGATCATTATTTTAAGATATATGTTCGAACCGGTTAGAATCATAGCTCACCGGTTAAAACCGGTTACTTCAATATCGAAATATAATCTAGGTAGTAAAATACCTAAAAATTGGAAATCGAAAATATGTTATAGGTCTGTCAATTAATTTGAAATATCTAATATATTATACAATGTATTCTATTTTCGATTAAAGTTAAAACAAGTTCTGAGATTGAAATAATTGAAGTCTTATTATATGTAAAAGGTTTATAGATAGTAAATATATTACCTAAAAGTTAGAAATGGAAAATATATTATAGTTTTTCCAATTAATTAAAAATATCTAATATATTATCAATGTATTCTATCTTCGATTAAAGTTAAAACGAATTCTGAGATACAAAATAATCGAAGTCTTATTACATGTAAAAAATTAATATAAAAACGTCAGAGAGACTCAGCTTGTAGAAATTAATTACTCTCGAGAGAAAATCTCTCAAAAATATGCTTTCATAAACTTTCAAGATTCAATATAATATTTGTAAGATTTTTCTTATCTTCTTGTCATTTTTTTTTATAGATTCTCTCCGTGAAATAATAATTAAATCATCAGTATCTAATTGTTTGTCCGTCTTATAGCAATAAGATTAATTTAAAAAGAAGGTAAACATAATTCCAAACCTCTCGAGTTTCTAAACATATTCTATCTCGCAACACACTCGAAAATTTTATCGTGCGACGAATGTGACAGTAACCAAAATATACCAAATACTTGCTGTAATTGCGCCACGGAGGAAACTGGCCAGCTGTTATTATTGTATCGATGTATCTGAATTTCAAATTGTGTCTTTATATCTGACGTTAGTTTCGAGAAATCTTACGTACCTGATCTAACGAACGCGCACAAAAACTGTTTAAAAACGATTCACAATACGAACCAATTATACAGTCACTATCGTAACAAATTAATTTTTTCCCTTTATCTTTGTTTTTCGCAGAAACTCATTTTCGGACAACCGATAAAAGTACGTAAGTTGAACTCGTACATTATATTCGCGCAGAAGCCACGAGAGAGAAAAGTCAAGTAGAATTTCTATAAAGCCGCACTTTCCACCGTTCGAACGCATCAGAAATGTTAAAGGAGAAAGCGAGCAATCGTCAAGTTGAAAGCTTACGAAGCACATTTTTTTCTCAGCTTGTCTCAATTAAGCTAGAAAAAGACTTGTAGATCTTACCCCTGGATAGCCTTCTTTCAAGACGTGGGACGGATCACCCGAGTGGATCTACGTGCAAGACGGGGTATTCTAAGCGCCTGATCGCGCGCTTAGTCGCGCGTGCCAGTTTCCGGTAGGAACGTGCGAAATTGCAGCTGAATGATTATGCTCGTTTTCCTAATGTAACGCATATATGATCTGCTGATGAGCTCCCCTCGAACTAAACGACTCGCTCTTACGCGAGCCCGCTCTGAGAAGACCCGCGGACTCGGGGACTCGCGATATTTGCAAAACGCTCTTTCGGACTTCCGATTTCTCGCCCACCTCGCCCGCGACTTCCGCGACTGTAATGGCACGCGGGTACGGCGGATTAAACGGAGAACGGAATCGAGACTGATCGTTTTAATTGTCACGTGTGCGCCTTTATACGAACAGTCCCATCATCATCCCCCTACTACGTGACGGGTTTCAGCGTGAAACTCGCCGAAACGGTAACAATCATCTAGTCGCCGTCGCACCGTATCGATAAGAAATCTATGAATCGCGGTAATTGATCACACACCGGCTTCCTCGCGGTTTTGCAACTCTGCATTTACTTAAATTGCGCGCTTTCATTGCGCGATTGTAATTCTGCCAATTTAAGCCAGGCGTAATAATTTCTTTTTTAACGACAACGCACCTTGAAAGTGCAACATGGTTTAAAGCTTAATTTTTATGAACAAGACCGATTGCGCAAGACCGACGACGAAGACTGACCGTTTTGTTGATTATGCATCTGTGTATTGCAATAAGGAAAAATTATATCAGTTTCCAGATATAAGCGAGATGTATATAAAACATTTGAAAGGTTGGTCAATTGTTAAGCTGACGCGACGAAAATGGTGGGATCGTGTCCAATTATTTCTTTTCCAAGATCCACATAATTCAAGGCTAATGCATTGTTGGAATAGATAATGTCTGTATTAGAATAGACAATGCTGGAGATCGGGGACTGGTTAAACATTAGTTGGACACATGCAAAACTGGTGTAGCGTAACAAATACAGCGCGAGGTGGCGGATATCTGCTGTTTTTTGTTTCGTCGAATTTACAGATTCTATAAGTCCATTCCACGTGATTTATTTTGTGTGACGAAAGCAATGCGGAAGACACAAAGGATGAGAAAAATACCTGTGTCCCCATTATGGCGATACACACGCATTATTTTCCACCGTATTCAAAATCACTAATAAATTACATTACCAAACATAATTAGTACTCTCAATTTATGAATGTAGAAACATATAGAAGAAATAATCAGAGAGAGAGAGAGAAAAAGGGAGAATATATTTTACTTAAAGCAATGTATATATTTTCTATTTGGATATTTAAAAAGTTATTATATAATTAATTACTACATTATTTTATTATACTATTAATTCGGTATTCTCAGTTTGTTTGTCGCGTCAGTATAGAAAGAGATAATGTCTCTTATCACAAAACGTTTGAATAAAGGCAACTTTTGACAAAGGAAGAGTCAAATGTGTTAATGTATTTACTCTTTCAGTTTAACTTCGTTGCTGTTCAAATTACACTTTTTCGAAGACTTTTCTCTCCGAGTGCGTCACATAAATGTCAAAAAGATGAAGTTTAGTATTTCTGCGCTTACTCGAAACCGAATATTCCTTTTATATTCTCGTTTCTTCTCTCCCGTTTCCCCGAAAATGCCGCGATAAGCTTTCATGCTTTTCATTAAAAATCGCGATTTTTTCTCTCACGGCTTAATTACGCTGGACGATGTGTATAATTTTCAATGACGATGCTCGTAATATTAGTAATGTCGATTGTCGAATACCGATTCGCCGATTCGCGACACGAGCTGGGACAAAAAGCCAATGTCGTTTCGACGTATAAAGAAGTCGCAGCACGCGTGAAAACCACGCCGCGAATCCAGCTGAGTCCACATTTAACCGGTTATGGTTTACAGGATGATAAACAAACTAGGTAGACGGGAATTTCTAAGAGATGTAGGATTATACGTCGATACGCGTCAATTGAAATTGAAATCGCATAAATCGTGCATTTAATTAAAATCATAATCTCGAATTTACGACAAACGGCCGGCCGATCCTTTCAACGGAAATGACGTGCCTCCCTGATGCAATATACGCGTAACTTTTGTTGACCTCGTATAAGAAGACGAGAAAAGAAAACTCAAATCCAAAGCTCGGGAAAAAATTGGGACGCGAACCGCTCGCACCTTTTTCCTTCATTAAGTAAACGCTAAAAGATCACATTTTCTTCCTACAAAGTTTACCGATTGCTATTACATCGAGATCTCTCCACCGCGATAGCTTCCTGTATTGTTTCCTCGTACCTGCGCCGCGAGCTGACGTGCGGAAGGATTTCTCGGACACCCTGTGCACGCAGTCCGTGTTCAGATCTAACCAGATAATTCCGACTAAAATCGACGAAGGGCGATGAACAGTTTTTATCCGATGCATTGCTATCCGCGCTAATCGCGATTCCTCGGACGTGAGTGACGCGGGCTACAAAAGCTACGCAGCTGAGAGATTGGGCGATGCACAAGTCGCATTATTCACTAACGAGGTGTCCATACGTGCGTTTAAAATCGTGTATTGAAATATTACTTTGACAGGACGGGATTCCGAACGCGCAGAAACGTATAGATTGGGAAGCGAGACTCCTAGAAAGGAAATTGAATCGGGCGTGAAAGATTTGTCTCGCGAAAATCTGACGCTATCAGGACGATCTTCGATAATTTCAATGAGCACTACTCACCCCTAATCAAACTTTAGCCGTAGAAAATCGTACGGATGCCTCATAAAATCATTAAATTACTCTTAAATCCGATCGTTAAACGGAAACTGTCGTGACGAGTCATGTTACTTTGACCGGATCACTTATGCGTACGTTTTGATTCTAAAATTGACAGATTACACAACATAGAAACACGTATACATGATCGCACTGAAAACAAACGAACTGTTACTCCCGTATACGCGATCGAACACATGAAACGGAGACTTTATTCCTACGAAGCTAGAATCCAAAGACCGCTGCACGTGTGTACAGACACTGTTGACATCGAAAGTCGAAGATAATATCGATGTTGTCAAAAACAATACAACGAGAGCGCGGGAATGAAGGGAGTTATCAAATGGTGTTTCCAAAGATGAATTTTTCCGATTAAATTACGGATATATCCGACAAAATTTATCCGATGAAATGCAGTTACCGATAAAATTTGATTGAAAAACCGACCATACCTTTCATCGAATATGCAATTTAATTGAATATATCCGTTTGTTATTATATAATTGGATTATCCGATTTAATCGGGCATTTTTCTCAGCGTATATGAAATAACGTATGCATATACAAACGAAACCTGGAGTTGGAAAAGTAAAAATCTGGACGATACGTTCATACGATTTTTACTAATGCCACGGATTTTGCATTAAAACGTCGCCCATTATAAAGAAAATTGTGATAAATTTTACTTAGCAATATATACATATATGTACGATACGATAAGCTAACAATCACCCATCCGCTTTAAATTCTACGGATTTCGGAAACTTGTACAAGTGGAAGTAGGCCATGGTCTTACATGGACTGTAAGGTATATACATGTGTATATAAAATGTTATGAGGCTGGCATGTAAAATTTATATATTACAATTGCTTAATTAATAATTATTTCTATTAATTTCTATTAAATTTCAATCACTTTTATTTCATGCGACTGACCGGAATAATAATAATTAAAATTCAGATTGAAGAAACATAATTTATGATCGCTTTCAGGCAAATTCTCGATGAGATAATTGATAGCCGAAATTTGAGTTGGAAAGAAGAATATGTCTCTTTTGTAAATTTCTCAAACTACTAATTGTTGTCAGTGTAATAGTTAGATGAGAGCGTTTGATGCAAGACTGAACTGTCTCTCGCCAAGTCCGCCTAGACCGTAATTCTCGTTTCTTCGCGTCTGTAATTAACAAAACAATGCGAAGAGTGCCAAATTGAACGCGGCCACGAGGCAGCGTCGGGGACGCACGTCTAGAAGACCGATCGTCGCGCAAAGGAAGGTCGTCGAGACATTTGACGATTTGACCTCTGGCAAAGATGAGGCACTCGCTTCTATCAGGCTGATGACTTAATTGATCATTAACGAACGGTCACCCGGTCCAGGAAGAAAACTCAGACACCGGGCGCTGCTCTGCAGCCTCCCCTTCCCTCCCCTAGCCATCCGACACGTTTCAGTGGAAAAATAATTAAAAAGGGCCCATAGAGAGCCCCGATCGGCGGTCCGACGGAGTCGCATAAATTGAAACTGGTTTCAACTGGCCGGCGTTGGTTCAATCTGGCATGTCAATCCGAACGAACCAGAAGCTTTCCGCTGCCACCTTGGCTTTTTCCCCTCCACCCGTCCGGTGCGATGGTGTGCCATGTTTTTGCATAAACCCAGAGACCATTTTTTTCCCCACTTCTCTTTCTTTCTGCCCGCTCCGTGCCGCGGAATTTCCGAGGAGGCCAACGGGCAAAACCGCGTAAAGCTACTTGAAAACCAGGTGAGAAACAGGAAATCTTTTTTACTTCTATTAAATATCTTGAAATTATCTGATGTTGTTTTAGCCATCTAATGACGAATGATATTAGATTTAATGAAGCTTACATAAGTCTAAAGGAGTTTGCTATATTATTCGTTGAAATTACTTATTACTTGTTCACCTATTATTGCGTATGCAAGTATTGGCCATTTAGACGATTCTTGCTGATTTCTAAGAATAAACTAATACTCGAAAGTTGACGTTTCCTGATAATGATTACGTTATGCAAAATAATTTCCCAAACCGTTCGCGCGTATCAGTCGATCTTATGATAAAATTACATGTTATCATCCAAACTGATAGCGTACAACAATTGCATGTTCAACATAAAAAAAACTATTTATTTAAAGAAATACTGATCGATACACGCTGTTAATAAATATAATTTGTTGGTACCCGAAATATTAATAACATCATTCCTATACATTTCTATAAAATTGCCATTAAATATTAACGAACATTTAATGTAAAACACGCCCACAATATCATGCAAATCTACATTCTTCAATCAAATTTTAAAAATTTGCGAACAATGTGTATATCCCTTTTTCCACACTACTGCTGCCTCTTAATTATGAAACGACATCAACAAAATCTGCAGATACCGTCGTCGCGATTAAACGATCTTATAGAAAGTAGTAAACCTTCCCAAATAACCTGACAGCTGTATCTTGCGTAAATACTCGTCAAGATATAACCGCGTATAAACGGTTACACGACTAATTTCGATTCCTTACCATTGGATAATTATTACAGCTGTAACTGAGATTACAAGTGTAATACCTTAAAGCTAATTTTTCCTGTCATCTTGCTAAGTATTGTCAAGATTTTCTCTAAGAGGTAGATTCCCTTCAAGTACACCTGTGAAAGTTATATGCGTGTAACAGGAACTAAAGTTATTACGTACATATGTATACATAGAGATATGTCCCGCGGCAAAATTTTTACGCAAAATACTCGCAGCTCTCTCAAACATCGCCCTGCCTGCAAGAGATTTCTATTTGTACACAGTATAAATTGGCAGTGCCAAACCTAGCATGGAAGACATAGCATTTGTGTTCGTACTTCGACACGCGATCGCCTAACTTTATGTATTGAAACGAGACTTTTCTTTAAAAAGATAACGAACGAGTTTGCAAAAATTACTTCTACAAATACAATGAGTTCCATTCGTACGATAAGTCATTGACAAAATTTGCTAAATTTGTCAAAATTTTCCTTTAGGTCCCAAGAAATGATAGAAATACTTTTGTACCTTTCCCCGCGATTTTACCGCAAATGTCCTCCGATTATAAGTACGGAATGTCTAACGCCTATCAATCTCGGATTACAAAGTTACACTATTAGAGTTTTGTACAGATTTTATCAGCGGCGTTGTCTTTCCCGTGGATCACGTCGCTGAAGGAGTACTTTCTGTCTAACGACGAGTTTCCCTCGCTCCCCACGTCGTTGCCTTGTCTCGCCCGTATACGCCGCGCAATCACGGGAAAGAACAGATTGGCGTCTAAGTCGTCGGTTTCATTTTTGATAAACAAACGGGACAGATAGCTGACGAGCAGTCCGAGTATGAACGTTATTAAGAATCCGATAGGGGAGTACCACATGTACGAAATGCGATACAGGTAGAAGTACGAGCTGTCGCCGGTGCTTCTGAAAAGGAGATACGGCCATTCGTTAGATGCGTGCCAAGTACAGCTGATAATCGACAAATCACTTACTTGGACAGGCTTGTGGCGTTCTGGAAAAGGGATATCGTCACGTTTGTGGCATTACAGCCTTCGATGGTCGTCGGCAGTGTGGGTGGTATCGGACGCGGCTGGCCGAATACGATCCAGAATAAAAATGAAAATGCCGCGAGAACGCCGGTTATCGCGCCGCCCTCCGTCGCCGTTTCCGTGCCCATGCCAAGCGTGAAAATGCCCAACAGCGGACCGCCGACCACTCCAAAAATAGTTAAGGAAGCCTACAATGAAGGGAATTTATTTTATCGTCACCAATCGCACATCTAGGAATGACAATAAGCTTGCTGGCACGATGTCGGATCTTAGAAATGTTGCCGTGAAATCAAATTTTATTTTAATATGCCTCGGTGGTCCAATTGGTTGAGACGCCCGCCTAGAGTGGAGGAAGGTTCAAACCCTGGCTGAGGTAATATCTTTCGCGATAAATTTTCTGTATTAAAAACACATCGCCAGTCATGGTCGATCAACTGCTTAATCGTGGAAATAAAATTTTGATTGCGAAGGACCGGAATTTTCACAGTCGAAACGTTATGATTTAAATAAAGAAAAATATTTGCCAGTTACGTCCAATAATTTTAAACCTTTTTTTTGTCTTGTCTTTTACCGGCGAAGATAAGAATCTTAATTGGATACGTTCGCGGAGCGCGCTATTAACGCTGAAAACGTCACCTGTCTTCCTTTGACACACGATGAGCAGCAAGGATGGAGAACGACGCTTTCAGCGCTAATAGCGCAATTGCGCTGGTAACGAGCTTCCCCGAGAATGCTCTATATGCAATAATAAGCGTCACCTGAAGTAGACCGCCCAGGAATTGCGCTAGAAACGCCAGCGCGATGGAAACGATGCCGAACGAAAGAGCGAGCACCTTTGCGACGGAGGCTGATTTCGCAGGCGAGAATTCATGCCCGATGCACTTTCTATACACGGGTTTCACATAATCCTCCAACGTTACCGCCGCCAGAGAATTTAGCGCCGCGGAAATCGTGCTGAGGCCTGCGCTAAAAATACCTGGAAGCGACAGTCCAAGATTAGTATTGCAAATATCCACTGCGCGCGTCCATCGTTTTAAACTTATCCTCAAGTGAGATTATATTTTGTACGCGCAAAATTATATTTCGCGCCCTCGGATATTTTTATTTTCCGTTTATAGTTTATGGTACACAGTTTCGGTAAAATGTTAAATCAGAACCAGTCGATTCGCGAGTGGGAGCGTTACCTGCAACGAAGAGGCCCGCCAAGCCCGGTATGTTGGACATCGTGTCCATGACGTACAGTGGCATAAGCATATCAGGCGCGGTAATTCTTTTCTCGAGAATTGGATCGCAATTGTAATACCTGCTGTATATCGCCAATCCCGAGAAGCAAGTCGTGAAGGAAAGAAGTGTCAGAATCGGCCAAGCCAGCCACAAGGCTCTTTGCGAAGCTTGTATATTCCTAAAATAAATATGCGTTCAATGTAGCTCTTCCTCGGAATTGCCCAGACGCAATTCAATCGGAAACAATGCGAAACAAGAATATTTAATAACATATGCGAACAAATTAAAACTTCGCCGAGTTTTCATAGCTTCACATCCGATAAATGGAACGGCATAAATGCTTTACTGTTAACATAATTATTAATCCGGCGCTACTTAAATTGCATTATTGTGGCACCTACTTTACAGACAGCGTACGCTGTATTTGTACTTGATTCACTCCGTAAAGCGATAAAAATGTACACAAACCACCGAATGTAAGGGACCACCAGGTATGCCTTACTGTTGGATCCAGATCAATTCTGTAACAGAAGTAAAATATCAGTCAGCACGTAAGTATATGACTCGTCGAGTGTACGTGCAGTCAATGGTAGAAGAATCGACGCGATTACCTGTCGAACTCGAGTCGTTGTCCCTGCCTCGCGATCTCCCAGATCTGCCCCAGTCCCCCGACTTCAGTCGCGGCTGTGCCGATGACCAGAAACACGGCGGCGAACATGAGCAGGCCTTGAAATACATCGGTAACCAGCACGGCCTTAATGCCGCCTATACTCGAGTAGAAGGCACACACGAGGCCAATGATGAGGATGCTGGCGGTCTTAGAGATTCCCGTGGTCGCCTCCAAGGCTAGAGAAGGAGCATAAAGCACCACTCCTGAGTACAAGAGCAGCTGAATCCAATAAACAAAACTAGCCATCATCCTAGCCCTCACTCCGAAACGCTTTTCTAAGTACTAAAAGAAGTAATTACACCTTCAGATTTTCACGTGGCGTCGTAAAACCACCCGGGAAGGAAATGAAACTTCGCCGAGCTCACCTCGTAGGCGCTCGTCGCCTGCAGCTTAAAGAACACCGGGAGGAATCCGTAGCACACGATCGGAGTGCCTATCAGGTACGACAAGTTTATCACGACGAACTGCGTCCCGTACGTGTAATTCTCGGCGGACACGCCGAGCAGCGTAACGGCGGACATGAAGGAGACCACCAAAGCAATGGCGACTGGTACAACGCCCATTGATCGACTCGCGACGAAGTACTCCTGTGAAACACGTTTATACCCTTCGTGACAAACGTTCGTTCAAGGCGCTCGGGGGGGGGGGTAGGGGGGAAGAAATGTAGCTTCGTTTCAACGGACTTATCTTTCGACAGCGAGACTTGATAATTACCTCCATAGTTTTCTGACGACCTCCGCTGAATCTGTAATAAACGCCAATTCCAGCGCTGATACACAGCATCACCGCTATGACCAGATAGTCGACCAACCCTAAGGTATTTGTTTCGGCCATTTCGTCTGAAACGTGAAATCAAAATAATTAACGTTGTGTATCTCACTTCGGAGGAAGGAAACTTTTCGTCGGTATAGAAATACGAGTGCGAATGCATCTGAGCGGGTATGAATCGGGTAAGACGAACGTAGGAAATTTTTATGTAAAAACTCTGGAAATTATTTGTAGATTTGTGAAATAAAAGATCTTATAAATCAAACTGAAATTTAAACGCCCATTGAAGTAGGACCTAGGCAAGGTGGCGGCCGTTAAATTGCTTAGTGAATCCACCACCTTGCCTAGGTCCTAATTCAATGGGCGTTTAAATTTCAATTTGATTTATATCTAAATAGGACCGAGAAATATTCATCGTTGTTAAAAATTCTTATTTAAACACTTTGACATCAATGGAACGACACGTCATCCCTTATTCCCCGTCTCGGCTCTTGTACACTTTATTCCTTTGAATTGTCATTTCACGTCAGAGCCTTATGAATTTTATCGTTCACATCGTCTCTTACTTAAACGTGCAACAAGACGAAAATTCGTTCGGCAAACAGCAATCGATGACTTCGTTGAACGAGACTTTACAGCGTTCTTTTCTTATTTTTAATCTCTTCCGCGATATTTTAAAATTCGTCGTCACTGCGGTGCACCGCATTTCGCAGCGTCCAGCACAAATGCGAAAGTATCATTTTTCTTTCGACATCGCACTCTACGTCCCTGTAAAGGCTGGTCTACAATACATGGAGTAAGTTGGAGTAAGGAGTAGGAGTAAGGAAATAAATCCATTTTATTT